CAGATGCCCGAAAACAGCACCATCGCTCCGACTCGCTGCGTTACGTTTCGGGAACTCGACTGTGCCTTTCTACGCCAAGTTCCATCCTCCTCGTCATCCAGTCCATGGACCCGACAGCTTGGATGACGGCGTTCAGACCCATCCGCCAAGACCGAGACATGGTTCGTCCCCCCCCTCGAGAGGATACCCTCCAGCAGGTGTAGCACACATCGTTGGCTTGCCCAAGCCCTCGAGACGAACCCCAAAAGCCAAACAAAAGGGCCTTCCTTTGCACATCATCATCCGCCCACCAACCTCGGACCGCTTTCGGCGGGACTCTTTCGGCCAGCGCACATGGCAGCCTTCAACCATTGTAAACCTGACGGGCACAGCCTCCACATCATCTTTTGATCGTCCCCGCCTGCGGGGGAGCTAGAGGTGCGCATCCCGCCGCTTTTTGCCAGTCGTCCTTCCGTCCTTCCACCCAAGGCGTAGTGCCGACTTTGGTCGTACCGCAAGCTTCAGGTCCCCGAGACAGGCACTACTTCTTTTGTACGGATTCCTTATCGCGTTTACTTCCGTTCCGTTCGTTTCACGCCCTCCATGTGGGAAGTGCTGGTAGCTCTAAGCCCCACGACACCTTGGTTTGCTACTCACTCTTTTTGCCTCATGTCTCAAGTCCCGTTTGCGGCATCACTGGTGACGTCCAGAAAACTTCTTCGTTGCCTTCTAGCTCGTTCTACTGTTCGCACTATCACTGCTCAGGCACAAATGCAACCATTGCCACACGCTCCAAACCTGTTTACCAAAACAGCCACCCGCCGTAGTGAAGAAAGCCCAGATCGAAATAGGCCGGGGCGGCAGCGTCGGAGACGATGTCCTCACGCGATCCTCATGCGATCTCGTTCCACAAGCCCCCGAGAGCCCGTAGCGTCGTGATGATGCTAGCTGTGAGCCACAGAGCTCTGCTTTGCATGAAAGCCGCTGTTCTGCATATCGATTTCCCTGTTGAAGTCAAGTTTTGTCTGTCTGGGCAGGATGCAAAAACGAAAAGGCTAGGTACACGAGGACACTTGCGCCCGTCGTCACTTCCACGAGAGCCTCAACGGGGAAGGGCTATGTCTCTCACATTGTCCAATTGGGCTATAGTCGACCAAGTTCGGAACTCTGTCGAGGTTTTCATGAACTCACTGATCTCTTGTCTCAGGTCTTGAGAGGGACGTTTCTTAATCAGGGCGTTTGCTAATCGGGACGTTTACTAATCGGGACGTTTACTAATCGGGACTTGAAGCTGTTTCCGGTGTCCTGGATTTCCTGCCCTCCTTACTCTCCGCCCCCTCCCCCCCGTTCAAACCCGGTTCCTGGGATTTCCTGGTTTCGCACGTAAAAAACAGTCGGCGGTGCTGTCTTACCCTCAGACGAGTCCAAGGACATCACCCGGGTACTGGGTTAAGGTAAGAAATATGCTTTGGGGGAGCAGAGAGTGAAAAGGTTGCGCCCGTAAGATTGGTATCGCAACAACGCTCCAGACGTTGGCGATCTGCTCCCGATGTCGATGTTAGTCGTCCATGACGAATGATGGTAATAGGGCACACATACCTATGCCAGTGCGCATATACGACGGGATTGCCCCTGGAGATGTGCTGTTCAATACCAGCCCGAGCGGTCCCCCAAGAACCGAGCTCCATTACACACGGCTATACCCCCTTGGGGTCTCGTCTCCTCCTAACACCGTGCTGCTCGTTGCAAAAGTTCCTTGACGGAGGAAGCTTATTGTCGTTTGCTGACGTCCTGCTTTCTTCAGGCTGGGAGCTAAACGGGCCTCCTTGTTTCTTGTTGCCCTGAAAAGGGGTGTCCTTCATCCCAAAATCGAGCACGCCGGAAACGGTCGTACTTTGGGACGGCGACCATGAATGAGGAATAGATACGGGCACGGAAAGTTTCCACCAGTCCTCCCGTCCGTATCCCGCTATTCCCAAAGTTCTCCAAGGCCTCCCGTCGCGACGGACCGGCAGCGTGGACTTGGCGAAGGCTAGCCAGACCCTCTAGAGGAGGAAGGGCTGCTAAATCGATGTCTCTCATAGGCTGTATCCTGTTCCTGATTAACCCCCCCCACCCCCGCCTCTAGTTTGAGTTACCCTACCTAGATCTTGATCTGACGCCTGTCAATGATTTGCATTTGAGGCGCTGTTTTTGTGTACGGCACACGTCCGATTTCTGGAACCATGAGTCCACAAATCACGCTCTCTTCCCGCCGTACCGCTCTGCGGTTTCATTCCGCGGTGGTGCGTGCCTGGATCGACATTTCGTTTTGATTCTTATTTCTCTCGATTTGTGAAGGGTGGCTAATTGATCTGCATCTGAATCCCTATCAAGCCGGTGGACGGGACGAAGCATGCTGTCCAGCGGGCGGCGGCTTGTGGTGTGGCATGTGTACCTGCCTAGATCGAGAAGGGCAACTGGCGGCAGGCGAGTAGAGACACGCTCGGCCCGAGGCTTCGCGATATGAGAATCACCCATCCTGACGTCGTCTTTCTTTCAGTGTTTGTTCGATCTCGTGTTTTTTCCTTGTCTCGGTTGGCAGGAGCGTGCTTTTTCTCGCTGTCCTCTCTCTTTCCTTCTGCTACCGCTGAAAAGGGCAACCATTTCGTGGTGTCAGGTAGCGAGGTTACAAGCCCGAAAACGAGACAAAGAGACCAACCCGTCCAACAGCTAGGGGAAGGGGAGATGTGATGCGTTAGTGCATGTGCACTCTGTGTCTGGAGGGCATACAAACTCTGTTTGCGATGGAAGCCCAGGAGGGGGCTCCAAAGGCGGGTAGACGAAAAAATACAGCTATCTATGTGGGTTTCCGCAGAGGACCGACTACACTCCCGCGTAGTCGATGAACGGTGACGAAAGAAAGATACCTGCTGCATGTTTCGACCGTCCACATCCCCCTCCTCACACCTCGGACTATGCCTGTTTCCTCCCCTCCCTCACCATCCGACCCTGCCGTTGGGCGATCGCAATGATGTCGACGGATGAGGATGCCACCACGACAACTACCACGTAGGCGAGCCTCCACACCGGCGTGACAAGTGAGCTGATGTAGGAACCTGGCGGTACTTCTGACGGCCGTCAGACGTTCGTGGAACCGGTCCAAGCCCAAATACCCTTTTCTTCTTCCTTCCTTTTTCCTTTTCTGCTTTCTGTTGCCCCCAAACATACACGTTCGAATCCGGACCACGTGTTTTTACGCATCATCGGAAACTAGCAAAGCCGAGCGTACCTACACGGTTCATGGAACCTCTCCGGACGAAGTGCTAGGCAATATGACTGCCTAGCGGGGAAGAAAGAGAGGGGGGCGGGGGACGGGAGGGAAGACACTTGCGAGGCACGTCTCTCTCGTTCACCCATTGGACTCTGGAATCGTGTGCGGCGGGGATATAAGCCCTTATACCGTGGTGTTGCGATTCCCACGTGTTCCTTGCAGCCCCATCTCCCCCCAGAGGCGCTGCTAGAAGTCTAGAGTAACGCTCGAGAGGATAGGAAGCGACTTGGCCTGGTCGGTGCCGAGGGGGAGAGGACTACGCATGTCTGGCCATAGATGCGGGCTATTGGAGGCGTTGAAGCTGGCCCATCCGTAAGTCGCGCCATTGGCGACAGAGATATATCTGCCGATCCTTGACAAATGCATCATCATATGCCTTTCGAGAGCGAGAGTGAGAGCGAGAGAGAGGGCGAAGCAACTGGAGCAGAACGCATCCTGTTCCTTTGACTGTCCCGCCCGGAGACATGCGATCCTCCAGCTCACAGTGGGAACTCTTCTTCTAGATTCTGATGCCAAGTCGGGGGCCTCGGCATGCTGCAAGGACCCCCCTCAATCACGGTTCCTTTGGCATCTGCCCGCTTGCTTTCGAGCAATGATAGAATTTTGGGTGATCGCCGGCTCGGCAACTCTTTATTCCCGGCAATGGGAGGCCGACCGGCGAAGATATCTCGCATCTGGTCGACCTCCTAGCTCGAGATGATCAGGCTTTCCCATCCTCTTTGTGGGCTAGGATCAAGGCTCATGCAGGAAGGGTGCACCGTTCCCGTCAAATCGCCAGATCTGCAAAGGGACGCAGGGTAAGGTGAGCACTAGATCGACTGGTCTGGTCTGGTCTGGTCTGGTCTGGTCTGGTCTGGTCTGGTCTGGAACCACCTACCTAGGTAGTCAAACATCACATCTCGGGGGCAGGGGCTAAGGTGCGGTAAATGCTCGCTGTGTTTCTCTTGCGGAAGAAATGCAGAATGCCAAACGTTTCTTTTTTGTTCCATTAACCTGCCCTACCGAAACCGACCGTATGCATCATCTCTACTCCGTACATTAAGATTTACGACAAAAGAAATTAGAGAAGTCGAGTCCTCCAAGGCGTAGCACAGGGGAGAAGGGGAGGAGGTCGTATACCATGGTGGTTTGTTCATTCCGGACTGGCTGCCTCCCTGATGTCTGATGTGAGATGAACCACTGACACGTGCAAGACACACGTCCTACGGTTCGCAAAATGCCCGGTGAGCCAAACACAAAGCCACAAGAAACACCCTACCGTGCTGTAGCAATGCCTCACAGCCTGACAACCAGTTTGAGTGACCCAACATTGTCACATCTCTGGAGGGGGGGTACTGTGTTGTCGAGTGCCAGGCTACTTGCAAACGCTTCCCGTCGCCCCTCACCAGTCCCCCCAATTGCCGTATGTCCCCAGGCGACGGAAACGTGAAAAAAGTCTGTTTTGTGGTGGTGACCACCCAACAACCCAGAAAAAGACAAGACATTCCCTCTCAGTATCCTGGAAAGCAAATAGGATACCGAGCAATAAAGAGTATGTTGTTTATCCCAGGCCTCAGCCCCCTCGGATACCATGCCTGCTGCCGAAATGCTTGCTGCAGGTTCCCAAAGTGGTGTCTCAGAAGTGGCCGAAGTGCTGGTGCTGGTGCTGCTGGTGCTGTTGGTGCTGTTGGTGCTGTACGGGGGCCGCGTGCGCAACGATGGGGAACGCCTAGTTGCCATAGTAATCGTTGTTGTTGGCGCGGCTGCTTCTTATCGTCTGGCCAGAGTGTTGGTCGGGGTAGGTCTCGAAGTATGGGTGATTGCAGGCGCCCTTAGCTGAGATGCGGCTGGCCGGGTCGTACACCAGCATCATCTCGAGAAGCTCAAGGCCCTCGGCGTCGAGGTTCGTGCACAGAGGTTGAGACTCGTCTCGGATCCACTTGGGGAAGGAGCTCTTGAAGTCGGGGTACGAGGTGACACCGGGCCAGACATCCTCGGTCGGCGTGCCGAGCGTGCTGAGAGAGGCAATATTAGCGAGTTGTGCAAAGACGAAGCAAGACCCTTGGCGAGGGATGCTGTACGTACCGGAAGATCTTGAAGATCTCGTCAATCTCGGAATCGCCAGGGAAGAGAGGCTTGCGGGTGCACATCTCGGCAAAGATGCAGCCAACGGACCACATGTCGACGCCGGTCGAGTATTGGCGTCCACCGAGCAGAATCTCCGGGGCGCGGTACCACAGAGTGACGACCTCGTGGGTGTAAGTGCGCAGTGGGACACCGAAGGCGCGTGCGAGACCGAAATCAGCCAGCTTCAGGTTGCCGTCTCTATTGATCAACAGGTTCTGGGGCTTCAGGTCGCGGTGGAGGACGCGGTGGGAGTGACAGTAGCGGACGCCGTCGCACAGCTGCCACATGAACTTCTGGATGACGGACTGGCCGAGGCCGAGACGGCTCAGGGACTCGGAGCTGCCCTCAGGCAGGGCCTTGCCGCGGCCGCCGTCGGCGACGGGGAGAGACTCCATGTACTTCTTGAGGTCGAGGTCGAGGAACTCAAAGACGAGGTAGAGCTTGTGGCCGTCGGCGTGGACGATGTTGAGGAGGCGCACAATGTTGGGGTCGCGCATCTCCTTGAGTAGGGAGATCTCGCGGATGGCGGTAGAGGGGACGCCCTCATCTTCGGCCTCGAGACGGATCTTCTTGAGGGCCACAATGCGTCCACCATTGAGGAGGTCTCGGGCCTTGTAGACGACACCGTAAGTACCTAAACGAGGGAGGAAACATTAGCATTTGTTTCTGTGAGTGGTCTTGTACCATGTTGTGCCGGATTCAGTGCCCGGAGTGCAAAGGTCTGGGAAGGGGGGGAGAGGGGGGATGCATACCTTCACCGATCTTCTCGAGCTTCTGGTAGTTCTCCATGATTGCGATGCAAGGGAATTAACAAAGCGAGGGTCAATTCGTGGGAACGCAGACACAAGAGCTATATGGATTTGACTTGTCTGCTGGTTGAAGAGCGTTGAAGGCAGTGGTGATGTTCGAAGCAGCCCTTTGTCCTTTGTTTGGTGGGGGTGGGTTAATAGCGCTGCGTTGTGTAGTCACCTCAGGGTCTGGAGGGGCACAGGTACTGATCTCTCTCCAGAAACAAACAAGCCGCCCAAAGGGAGAAAATCGTCGTCGTCTAGGGGCAGCGTGGTGCACGCAGGGGGATTAGGCAACAGAAAAGATCAGAATTTGGCCGCTACAAGAAGAGAAATCGCCATGGGAGGAGAGAGAGAGGTGCAATGTTGTCGTTGGTTGCAAAAAAAGGGCCCAGGCGGGAAGGGCGTTGTCGGTGGGCGGTGGGCGATGTTTTGTGGTGCTCTAAAATTGCACTTGGTTGTCGTTGTTTACTAGCAGTGAAGAAAAACAAGGCGCGATCTGATCTCACCCAACCAAGGGCCATTGTACCCAAGGTCGCGTTCTAACTTGTGGCGTCGGACTCCTGACAGGCTGCCCGCGCTAGGGCTTATCGATAATCACATCTATCCTGTCACCTATCGATAAGGTCACTCACTGATGGTGGGGTCACGGACTCGCTCTCGGTTTTGTCCCGCAGAGTCACTGAGGCTTCTTGGAACGTACGATAGATGTGAGAGCTCAGACTATCACCGAGGCGGCGGAATTTATCTAGTTAGAAAGTTTTACAGTATTTTTGTTTGTCCTTTGATATCATTTCCCATATAGATCTGCTTGCTCGTACATCGCTTTGTAAGTTTGGTTTCAAAAAAGCCCACAATGGCGGCTGGAATAGTCGAGCTCGATGCTCATGAGCAGCCGTCAGAGGCGATGCGGGCACAGTGGAAGGGGTACTCAAGGGCTGATCAAAAGGAACTCATTAAAGGGGATTCAATTGATGACCCTAGATCACCGGATCAAGCTGGTAGATTCTCTGTGGCTGGAAAGATCTCGGTCGACCAGCTCACAACCGCTTTCTCTCACATAAGCTCGGCCGCGGTCGACACATCAACACTTCAGGAGGTGCCCATTCTTTACCACCCGCTTCTGCCAGGTTTGTAGATCTTGTTGGAATGAAATTCCAGGCCGGGTCACTAAAAACTTCTAGGCCTTCTCATCGCACCGAACCTGGTGCCTCCCGAAGTCCAGAAGACCCTCCTCTCGCTGATGATCAACCGAGACCTCAGCGTGCCGACACACCAAACAAACCTTCACCTGCATTACGACTTACCTTACCCGAAAGACGCAGATGGATCCTCCGAGTCATTCTTCTCGTACCCGCCTGACCAAACACCAATCTTCATTCCAAAAGATCCTTCGGTTCATAAACCTCTATCCATCAAACAGGTTATGGAGAGACGGCTCCACTGGGTCACCCTCGGCGGCCAGTACGACTGGACCAACCGCATATATCCCGAAGATCGCCCTCCTCAGTTTCCCTCAGATATTGCCCAATTCTTGGAGGCCCTCTTCCCCGAGACCCTCGCCCAAGCCGCTATTGTCAATTTCTACACGCCTGGCGACACGATGATGATGCACCGCGACGTCAGCGAGGAGACCGACAAGGGGCTTATCAGCCTGAGTTTCGGCTGCGACGGTCTCTTCATGATCGCGCCTAACGACCCCGAGAACATTTCCGAAGAAGCAAAGGCCACGGGCAAGGAGTACCTCCTCCTTCGGCTGCGCTCCGGCGACGCCATCTACATGACCAAGGATTCTAGGTTCGCGTGGCATGGCGTGCCCAAGGTCATGAAGGGGACATGCCCTGACTATCTGGCTGACTGGCCAGCGGAAGGTGGGAAATATGAGGAATGGAATGGGTGGATGCAGAACAAGCGGATAAACCTCAACGTCAGACAGATGAAAGACTGATGGCGAGCATACAATTGGTAGCTATATGTATGGATAGCCTAGTTTGAGTTCCAAAGATACCAATATACTCCTTCTTTCCTGCCGCTATGCTACTTTCACCGAGACCGACATCTCCTGTTTGATACAATCTTGGCTCTCGTAGTATCTCTCTCTCTCTCTCTCTCTCTCTCTCTTACAGGTTTGTATGGCGGAAGGCCTCGTGGCCAGCTTGTACTGTCTACATTTCTATTCAAAGGGCAGAAATCAGGCTACCTATGCCCTTGCTGTTGTGTTGACATATTTCAGCAGTTTCAAAGCCTCTTTGCCGACTTACACTTCCTATTGGCCCGGGCTTTGATCAATTCTGCAGCTTCAAAACAGAGTTGATAAACGTCAACGTCAACTTTCCAAAGTCCTCACCTTCTCAACAACGGCATAGGCAGTCTGCTGCGTGTAATCATTAGGTAAGTCAGGTTGTATGCTGGCATCCACGACACCAGGGAGATCTACCATGATATCGCTCCTGGCAGCCTCGATCAGGTTTTGGGCCCAACGCCACTGCGCCGAATGAGCTGTGCAGTACGGATGGCTCCAGTGACAACAGTCATATCCCTTTTTGCATGTACCGTTCGCGGGGACGAAGCATGTGTGCCGAGTGTGTTACCCTAGAAGCTTTCATCTTACTTGATATTAAATTGCTCAACCAACTCAGGGATTGGAGAGTGGAAGAACTATGCCTGGATCTCCGTCAGTACCATCCAGTCATGCCGACAAGAGGAGAATTGAGGCAACCTTCTGAAAGTAAGGCAATAGCCCACCTCAGCTCCCTTCAGGGTCGTTACTGAAGTAAGACCTCGTCTGTCGTAGATCTGCAGCGTGTAAACCCCTGGGTATGTTTCTTGACCGAGATGAAAGAAAGTAGATATCACAATCTGGATAGCCTTTGCTAATCCCGGCGGTCGCTGACATGCAAGGTTGCATTTATTGGCAGTGCCGTTAACATTCATTGGGTCATGCGATGGATTTGCCTTATCCCACGGCCGGAGAGGGGAAGCTGGCAAGGCTCAGGCGCTTTTAATAACTGATACCCACCATTATCTTCTTCTGTTTTAGTCACATGGCTGTTTGAGTATGCATGCATAGTTCGTGGTGCGCCGATCACGTTCGTGGCCGTTGATGGATCAACTGAGTGTCGTAACCTGTATGAGACTGTAGAAATACAACTTTGAAAAATGGCAGTGTTTGCGACGGGCCTCGAATTTCTTTCTATGTCAAACTGGGCGAGAAAGTAAAAAGGAAGAGAAGGAACTCGGCAAAAGTAATGTTCTTACCGCGAGAGAACGATGTTGGTTCACAAAGAACCTCATGATAGCAATTTCCCTTTCTTTTGGGACACCAACGTCTCATGCCGATATGGTGCCAATCACACTACGAAAAAAAACCACCACCAAAATGAACAAACAAACAAATATGTACAACAAGAGTTGATTTGTTTTGGCCGACTTTTAGCTCCAAGCTCTGCCTAGAGTCAGAGGGGAAATGGATGCGGTTGAGTTGACATCTCCACGGGGCGGTGGCTGCGCCTCGCCTAAGCCCCCCTTTACAGGCCTCTCGCCAGACCAGGACTATTCTTCCTGGAAGAAGTTTCTTCAGCGGTTATTTGTTCCTGATGTCGGTGATGGTACTTTGTTGTGGGGAGAGAATCCTATGTCGCTTCTGAAATGGCCCGAACCTCTTCGTCACGCAAACCAGGCATGTCGGTCTGCCTTGCTCAAAGCCTCGACCGAACTAGACCCTCAAGTCCCGAGACTGACCACAGACTTGGTATCTTGAATCCAAATTCGGCGCGTCTGTTCAAGCCTGGTACTGAGTCACGCCGATTTGATGAACGAGGCCAAGCACCTGGTCCGCGGAATGGGCCATGTCTGTCGTCGCCCTGAAAGTCAGAATACGAGATGAACGCTCCGGACGAATCGAGATTCCCCAAACTCTCCGCACGCCTTGTCGAACATGCAACATGGATCTTCCCTTGGGTAATATTTGAGCGGGGATTGTGTATGATTGTATTGCCATGCTGCGCTTCATCGTTGCCGTGCGCTTGTCGTCAAGAGTAAGAGGTCGTGACCTCCTCATAAAGGGGCAGTGTCACTGGCTATGCGATCGCAAACAATGCGGAGAAAGGGCACAGTACATACAGTCACCGCCATTTGGATGGGCTTGAGTGGACTATCTCCTTAGTTCATCTCTAAAGTGAATATGACACGTCTGAGATGTACACCACCGGCCTCATGTGCCTTGACAGGTTGTTCATCCCAGGGGGATCACAAGCAGGATAAAAAATGAAGTATAGAAAGAAGCAATATGCAAAGTATAACCGTCTACAACCAGGAAGCGCAGCATCCCCATGACTACTGTGGCATGTGTGCTCAACGGTGAAGCCAGCCCCGATAGGGTACGTGGTATAGTTCCAATGCACAGCCCTCTCAACAAGCTGCGAATGGAAGCCGTCACCGCCCTGTTCACATCCAGGAACTCTGCGTGAACGAAATCGAGGCGTTATACATGAGGAGAATCGCCCAGGGTGAAGATGATATGGCTCTGGATCAGCGTGGCGGTGTTGTATCCGACAGCAATGCTCGTCGCCTCCTTTCCGAACTGAATAGATAGGGGCTGGGCCGGGTTCGTCTCGTTGGCTGGCTGTCTGACTCGATAGTAGGGAGCCCAAGGTGATGCTGCTCTGGCGAAGTTGTTCGTCTTCTGTGGGGAAAGAGACCGCAGGCTGGACTTATTCCCTGCGGCACGGCCTGTAAGCTCGGGACCTCTGAAGGGAAGGATTGTCATCAGTAAGACCGGTCTGGAGGTGGGGAAATCTTCAACTCGTCAATCTAAACAGGCTTTTGTGATTGTTTCCGAAGACCCACTTTCAAAGTGCGATGTTTCTCAGTCCAAGTTTTGTTTTGGCTCATAGGGTTTGGAGGCCTTCCTCGAAAGGGTGTGGCATTGCCCCTGGCAGATCTGGACGCTTGATACCCCGAAATGTCGGCAATCTTGTTTTCTGAATGTGTATTTCGATTTGTACGGATAACTCGTATATCAAGAACCACATATCATGTGCTGATCTGAGCCACGTTCTGACGGTCTGTGTGTAAGGGGTGGGTTGGTGTTGGACCATTCCTGAGGCCGAGTATTCCCTGCTGAGGAGAAGATGGGCTTGGTGGGCGGATGATGGGATATTCCACTTGCTCTGAGGTGAGATTACAGCGGCAACGCCGAGACGGCAACACTGCGCCGATGTTCCTGGAAGCGGTGAGCGGGCGCTTGTTGGTTCACAGACTATCCGTAACCATCTCCAGTTCAGTTGCGGCGGGTAGTTTAGCCGCTGCACGGGGATGACCTTGCTTCGTGTGGGCTTAGCCAACATGCACTCTTAGTCGACGAGAAAGCGCGATACATGCAGCCTTGCTGCCTTGAATCAGATATTAATCGCAACAAAAGGGATCAATAAGTTACTGCGTTCCAATAGGGGTCCCGCAATAGGGGAAAGGGTTGAAGAATCCCGGCTATCTGGGACGGACTGCATAGGGCCCTGCACTGCGTCGAGGCGTTTGTAGATCCTCAATAGTGTGGCACTCCCTTGAAACGGCGCCCGACAAAGTTGTTTGTAAGTTGGACTGGCAAACCGGAAGATGTGCGGCTTTGACGTAAGATTGCAGTATGTTTCCCATGAATGAGATTCGGCGATAGTGGGTTTGGTTTGACGATGGGCGAGAAAGGGTTTGGTAGCGTGCTCTCGGCGCTTGCCGACTGCGTTTGGTGAGAATTCCGTACCAAAGGCGATGAGCCAGCCGTAACCAAGCCATTCATATACGGAGCATGTTTAGCCGCCATGCAGTCAAGTGTTTGTTGGTGCCAACAACACGAGAGACAAGACATGGGGGGGGCATGGGAGGAAGTGGTAATACCGTGCAACAGAACAAAGCCTATGTGCCTGCCAGCCTTATGTGGTTTAGCTTCTCCGATTGACCAGGTTGACGACAGGCCAGCCAGCCCCCCGTTGCACTGAGCCTAGTCCATGGGAGGTACATCCCCTCACCAAGGCGGTTAAGCTGAGAGGAGCATTTCCTGACTACCCTTTGGTGTCTTTTTTTTTTTTTTCTTTTTCTTTTTCATTTTCATGGAAATTTATCCAGTTAGTATGAAAGGACCCCTTGCTCAGTATGATCGTGATGAGCCTTGCGCGCATTCATATAATTGATACATACTCACTCATACTTGAGACCCCTCGTTCGCAATCGAAGCGATCAAGCTCATTCATTGCGACAAAGCCCCATTCGGCACGTCTGCACGCAGGGATATCACTCTTTGGCAACACAGCATCAGAAACCTCGGGACGACAACTTTCTTTGTTCTCATCAAGATTCCAGTCTCATGGGGAGCTTATGCTCGAACCTTCAAAAGGACGATGCACCTGGGGAAAAGGATGGCCAGGGAATAAGGGACGACAACAATCTCACGCGACACTCCTCGAGAAGGCCACGGAAACCTCCACACCATCGCCGCCAGGCAGACATGGAACTGGCCCAAGAAATGATCAACGCCCACGACAAAGTCATTGAAGGCACCAGCGACGGCCTCAAACGCCGTCCTCGCCAGGTTACCGTTCTCGACCAAGCCAGGACGAGGACGGCCGCTGCCAAAAAGATTGAGGACCCTGATGAATACTTCCGCCAGCGCCTCGAGATAACGAATCGCGAAAAAACCCTAGCATTTGATTTTCGTCTCACGGCGCTGGCCTCATCCAGAGAGATAGAGGCCAACGCCATCATTCAAGCCGTCAAGGCCCAGGACCAGCGCTTGGTGTATGACGCGGCTGAGCCAAGGCAAGGGTGGGGTGGTCAGAACCACCCGCGGTTTCCCGCAGACCACTTCCTATCAAACGTCCATCTGATCAACCGAACGAGGCTGTTTGCTATCGCGACAAAAATGCCCAAAGGGGCACACCTTCACATCCATTTCAATGCCTGTCTGCAGCCTCATGTCCTGCTGGGCATAGCCAAGAACATGGATCGCATGTTCATCACCAGCGATAAGCCCTTGCCTGCGAGCGGCGATGGCAGGACGGACGAGGAGGCACGGAACTCTCTTCACCTCTGTGAGATTCAATTTTCCATTTTGCCGCCAGAAAAAGAGAGGCCGGGCGACATATTCTCGCCAGATTACGTGAAGCGGCAGACGATGAAATACTCTCACTTTCTTCAAGAGTTCCCAAAGAAACACAACGCAGACCCAGAGGAATGGCTCACAAGTAAACTCGTCTTCCACGAGGATGAGGCTCATAACGTGCATCAGACAGTCCAGGGTGCCTGGGAGAAGTTCAATGTCAAAACCCGCATGATGAAGGGCCTTTTCAACTACGAGACCGCTTATCGAAAGTACACTCAGGGAATCCTTGAGGACTTTGTCCGTGACAACATTCAGTACGCCGAGATTCGGCCAAACTTCATGGAGACGAACCAGCTCTGGACCGACGACGGTACAAAACAAATCGACAACAAGGGCATAATGAAAATCATCATTGACGAATTCGACCAGTTCCAGCAAAGGACTAATAACTCTTTTGACGGCTTGAAGGTCATTTATTGCACCCCTCGGTCCTTCTCCAACGAATCTGTGGCTTTTGCGCTCGATGAGTGCTTCCGTTTTAAGAAGGATTGGCCCAAGTGGATCGCCGGTAAGTCCTGAGATCTAAAAGGCCTGTATGAGGCGTTCAACTGACAGGCCAGGTTTTGATCTGGTTGGCGAGGAATCCAAGGGACGACCTCTGCGAGACTTCGTCCCCGAGTTCCTTGCATTTAGAAAGAAGTGCGACGAGTCCGGCGTTGATATTCCGTTCCTCTTCCATTGCGGCGAGACGACGGAGATCGGTGACGATACAGATGGCAACCTTGTGGACGCCCTTCTGCTCAACTCAAAACGCATAGGCCACGGCTTTTCGCTGGCAAGGCACCCGTACATCATGGAACACATGAAGAAACGGGGCATCTGCCTCGAACTCTGCCCCATCTCCAACGAGGAGCTCGGCCTCACGCCGAGGGTATCAGGACACGCCATGTACAATCTTCTCGCGAACAACGTACACTGCACTCTAAACTCGGATAACGGAACCATATTTAGGTAAGGCGATATGTACATGGCCTGAGTTGCGTTTCCGAAGGCCGTTTCGCTAACCAAAGACTGCAGATCGAGTCTTTCTCATGATTTTTATCAGGCAATGGTTGGCAAGACGGACATGACCCTGCACGGCTGGCGACAGCTCATCGAATGGAGCCTGGAACACTCCTGCATGTCCAAAGAGGAGCTCGCCATCGTGCGCGCGGCCTGGGAGAAGCGCTGGGAGGAATTTCTGGATTGGGTCATTGCCACATATGGCAATTCGGAGGCGTTGGAGGACGATTCTAAGGCGTAGAAGGAGTATTGAGAGACCTGCCTTTTGGATCTCGGTTTAGGCGAGACCGGCAGATATCAAAGCCTTGGACGACAGTCACGAGGCATACGTTTATGGTTTAATGATCAAAGCAAAAGAAGTTATTTCCTCACGGAACGTAGAGAAATCCTCGGTTCGGCTTTTCGACTTGATGGAATTTGTTCCAGCCACCTCGGCCAAGTCGTTCTCCATCTTGGGTTGGTGGCCGGACCCCGATTTGGCTCTTTGCCTCCAACGTCAACGAGACTCATCAATTCAATCATGCCAGGAATTATGAAAGTACATAGCGTTGTCTGGCGGCGTTGTCACGGATGCCTTGGCGGAACGATGACTGGCACGAAAGCGGTACCTACGCCTTACCTACCGGAGCCGGGTCTGCGTCTCGCGGCCCCAAATCCATAGCAAAGTACCTATCCTTCCCGGGTATCGTAATTGCCCATCAAGATAACCCCCCCCCCCCCCCCCTGGCCATCGGGTTTTAGGCTTTTAAGCTTAAGGTGCGCAGTGGAGCACCCGGCCCGCCCTATTCCACACAGACGTACCTAGGTAGTAGGTAGGAGGTTACAGGTACACTTACAGCACCGCCTCGCGACCGGGGGCCTGCGTGCCCCCTTACCCGCCTAGACGCCTCCCCAACCGAAAACAACCTTTTGCTAGCACAATGGCCTCTTTTCCTGCTTGAAGACCTTGCCCGGCTTTTGCGCAGTCTATATGATCCCATCATGTTCGTCCCATGTCCTGCAGGGTCCTCCCCCGACTTCGTACTGCGACGCGATGACGCCAGGCTGCGAGGCGCTGGAGGTTGGCCACTGGCCCCGCGCGAGGAGTGTGTTATCGCATCCCTAGGCTGTGGGCCCGGGGGGGCCAGGGCGTCTCGTGCTTTTTGCAGTTCCAGGACGAGGAGCAGCAGTCGCGTCATCATGCTCTGGACACCCTCCGCGTTATCACACACTCCCCCGAGCCTCGAGGGTCTGTTAGCTGTGCCACGGCGGTCGTGTCACCAGCCCGGCCTAGTTCTGATCTGGAGAGTTGTGACCGTCGCGGGTACGGTGAACCTGGTCAATGTTATACATGGCGATGGCTTTGCGTGATGACGGCATACAGAGCAGGCGTATTTGAGTCGCCATACGTCACGCGCCGGCTAGCACCGCTATTCCGACCAAGTCACACAGACTACGGGACCGGAAAGCGCTTTCAGATCCGATGTCACTTAAGAGTAAGACCAGTTGCAATGCCATACTGATACTATCAGGGAATGCTCTAGAAGTGGAAGATGTTCAACTTTTGAATTCTATCTACATAGATACAATCGTACGAGCCAAAACCAGCTCTACTGATAATACCGCCCACCAAGCTCCTTGTCTCTCATCACCTCTTCTATAAAAAAGAAGTGCAATGCTATGGGTAAAAAAAAACGCATATGCAGCAAACCAACTCCCCCTGCTTCTTTTCACGAAACCTAAACGCAAGATGATTTCTTTTCTTAGGAATTCCAAACTCCGAGATCAAAACCTCAGGCGAGCCAAGGCCTGAGCTAGTCGAACGACCTAATAGTCAAACTTGATGCCCTTCTTCTCCGAGATGTCGATCATGCCCCCGCGGTAGCTGCCGCGCTTCTTCTTGTTCTTCTCCTTGGTGAAGCCCTTGCCCTTGGTGACGATGAGGTCCTCGTGCGCGCGCTGCGAGTAGTCATTGGGGACGTACTCGTTGCTGGCAAACTTGGGGTCGACGTAAACCTCGTCGGGGATGCGAGAGAAGGGCTTGTTGGGCACCTTCCCCTTGCCGTTGGCGCCCTTGCCACCACGGTTGTTAGGGCGGTTCAGCATGGGATCGGGGGGCAGAGGGGGGTCGGCAGCGGTAGAGGCCTCGGGGGACGTCTTCTCCAGGGTCGCAGAGGAGTTGGAGGCTGAGTCGGCGGTCTTGGCGGCCTTCTTGGCCGACTTCTTCTTGGTGTCTTTGTCCGAGTCCGAGTCCGAGTCGGAATCAGAGTCGGAGGATGAAGAATCAGAGCCGGACTCGGGAAGAGGCACCTTTGCGGCCGAGGAGCCGTCAGAGTCGGAATCGCTGTCCGAATCGCTGTCGGAAGAGTCAGAGTCGGAGTCGGAGTCAGAAGAGTCGGAATCGCTGGAGCTGTCCGAGCTGGAGTCGGAAGAGGAGTCAGAGGAGTCGCTGCTGTCGTCCTTCTTGACCTTCTGCTTCTTGGCCTTGGGGGCCTCGTCTTCGGAGCTGGACTCGTCGGAGCTGGACTCGTCGCTGCTACTGTCGCTGCTGCTGCTATCCGACTCGGGCGCCTTACGCTTCAGAGCATTCTTGGTCGCGGCCTTGGGTGCGAGCTTCTCGTCCTCACTCTCGCTCTCGCTATCGCTGCTCGAATCAGAGTCGGAGCTTGAGCTTGAGCTGCTGGAGCTATCGCTGTCGGCAGCGGCATCGGCCATATCCACGTCCTCATCGTCGCTGCTGCTGTCGCTGTCGCTCGAGGAGGTGTCGCTGTCACTGCTCACGGCCTTGACATCGAGAGAGGTTTGCCAGGTCTGGAAGATGGTGACGAGGTCGGGACGGGTGGTCTGCTTCTTGGAAGGCTTCCAGCCGCTCTGGGTGCGCTGCTTCTGGAAGGCCTCGTGGGCGGAGGTGAATGCGTTCTCGGAGAGGAAGGAGTCAACGAGATCCATCAATTGGTCAGGAGGGGCCTGCTGGGTAGGTGCGGCGACGGCCTTGCCCTTCTTCTCCGATTTCTTCTCCTTCTGGACCATCTTGTCTTGTTGCGACGTGGTAATGGTGGTAGGGGCGGTGTCGTTGGTCTTGGTGAAGTTATTGGAGAATAACCAGGACGGAGGAGCTGACATGTGTGTCGGGGAAAGAAGTGGTAGAAGTTTCGGTCAGTCGCAATGACAAGAGGGAGGAAGCGAGAAAAGCCAGGCTTGTAGGAGTTTTCCTCGGTGAAAATGAAGTCGACTTCAGCCAGTCGGTGTCTCCAGAATTTTAGCAAGATGACCCCTGCTCGCGAACTTTTTTCCCTTTTCCCCCCCCTTCCTTTCTTTTTTTGATTCCTTCGATCGTCGCTATCTTATCGGCTCAGCCCCGATAGACCAATTTATGTATCTAAACGCTCTATCTCAGTTCATTGCTGCGTCTTCCGCCTTAGCGCCGTGGCAGGGGTGGAAGCTCATTGCCCGATCAGCAATTGTCGTTTGTTGACTTTTGCAAAACTGGGCGTCTAGGAGACGACTAGTAGACGAAGCACCATCCTGTTCCTGGGGATCTTGTTTCATGGTGCAACACAACGTAATTGATCAAGGATATCTGGTATAAAGCCTACCCACCCCAATCTCACCCACACAAGTCGACAATTTCTGTCCTGCCTCTTGTCCCCGCCCTCTGGTTCCTGATCTTCTCTGGTTCAGGACAGCCGTCGTTGCACACCCGTCGCTGGGGTTACACTGAACCAAGAAACCATAATGAACGCAACCAAACGAAAGTTTAACGCCCTCATCCAGGGTATGGGCAAATCCTCCGCGTCAACACAATCGGATGACTCCTTCAGTCTGCCTACCGAGTCTCCTCGCCCATCGACGACTTCTCTTCAGCCCACCAACCCGAACTCCACGAGCACGACCACGACCGAGACAGCGAACAACAAACCGACCATGACGGTCGACGAAGACATATTGCTGAAGCGCCGGCGCTTGCAGGCGCTGACGGAGAAGAACGCCGCCACGATGAGGAGTTCACCCTCTATTCGTGCAACGGGGCCGGGAACAACCGTTACCAACATTGTACTGAAGAAGTGGACGCCCAACTCGTCCAAGGTGACAGAAGTCAAGCTCGCTCCTAAATTCGCACCGAGCGACCGAAGCGAGCTTCTCAAGAGACTGGCTTCGTTCCAGGAGATCACGGACTGGACACCCAAGCCTGATGCGGTGAACGAGATCGAATGGGCCAAGAGAGGATGGGTGTGTCAGGGGAAGGATCGGGTACGGTGTACGCTGTGCAACAAGGAGCTTGTCGTGAAGCTGAACAAACGCGAGGTGGACGGCAAGGAGGTGCCTGTGCTCGTTGCATCGGATGTCGGTAGGTTCATGATTGCCACTCCTTGTCGCTACCCACAACTGATTGATGAAGCAGAGGAAGCGTTGGTCGACAAGTACTCCGAACTGATTGTCACAGCACATCTGGAAGAGTGCTTGTGGAGGAAGCAGGGCTGCGATGGTATGCCTTGAACACATTCCCTAGGTTGAGAACCCGCACTAACTTGCACAGATTCATTGCTCCGACTATCCCTGACCAATGCCAAGATTAGTATAGAGGCATTGCGGTACCGGTACGATGAGCTATGTGGAAGGAAACCCTTCCTCCCCTACGAGTTCAACTTGAAGCTCCCCGAGGGTCTCAACATCGATAATGTTCTTACCCAACTACCCGAGGACTTCTTTACAAACCCACCACCCGCCAAGGACTCACCAGACCCCAAGCAGCCCAACAGAGTTGCTCTGGCTTTGGCCTTGACGGGATGGCAAGGCCTCACAAACCCTCGCATCGGCGCGGTGCCAAATTCGGCATCCTGTAACACTTGCTTGCGGCGCCTGGGACTATGGATGTTCAAGAGCAAGGAAGTCAGCGCCGACGGCGAAATCCTTGTCCCCGCGCCAATGGACCATCTCGATCCCATCAGAGAGCACCGCTTCTTTTGTCCATGGAAGAACCCGGACACGCAGCGCTTGGGCAGCGCGAAGCCCGGTGCTGAGTCGGATATGGCGGCGTGGAAGTGCCTGGTGCAGGTGCTCAAAAACGACGCTTACCTGCGCGGAGCACTCGATGATCGCCCAAAGAATAGGTGGCACAGCAGAGGAGTCTCTGTACCATCGACGCCGGTACGCAGAGGTGTTGCGCCGCCTTTGACACCGGGTGGTCACGACTCACCGAGTGCTGCAACAGAGCCGGGAGGTGAAGACGATGAACAGTCTCGGGATGTAAAGGACAAGGAGCGCTGGGCGCGTTTGCGAAGGGTGAAGAGTCTCTTCGAGTCGAAGAACGCGAAGAAGATACGCCGGCAACTGAGTAGGCCAGGGACGGCGCACTCGACTGTCTCGGGAGCTGCAGCAGGCGATAAGCAGTAAATACAACTAACGGGCTGCGTTGTATTATGTTTCACTCACCGGGCGATTTGTATTTGGACGGACGGAGGAGTTCTCGAGGGTTCACGTATGGTCGGACGACGACTGCTCGCAATTTGCCTTGAATATTATACCCATATGATGGAACCTGCGCAAAGCGCTGATGGCCTTCGGAAGCAATGAATAGCGCCTGCGTTGTTTACTTTTCGGTTACATGTTCGCATAAGATAGTTCTCTGCTAGCTCACCAACAGGACAGCCATCCCTTTTATTCAACTTTTGTGCCGTATAATGAGCTGTCGTTTCTCCTAGAGGGTATCTCTTGTCTATTCGCCTGATCAAAACACGATCCTACACCACGAACACCACCGCCGCTGCCGCCTCATGAGCTCCAATCTCCAAACTTCTTCTCCAGCTCCTCGAACGAAACCACATCGCCCGACCACGCCGCCGGGTCACTCTCCAATGCCTTACCCGGTTCCAACCTCTTCTCCTGCTCACAGGCCTCCGTCCCCGTCTTTGGCGACGAGGCCCTGGCCCTCTCCGGCGCGACGAACTCCCTGATCCCGGCCAGCTCCAGGACCCCCATCCGCACGCCTGCCATTCCCGCCGCGCTGCCCGTCCCGTCGACCTTCCAGGCCTTGTTGCGCTCCATCCTCGCCGCCGTGATGTACACCCTCCGCACCCAACCGTCCCATCCGGTTCTCGCGAAGCACCGCTCCGCCTCGCGCAGCCGCTCCGCGATGCCGCCTTCCTCACGAGCCCTGCGCAGCAGCGCTTTGTCCATCTTGGTGAAGACGAGCATCACCGGCCGGCCCGCGTCGGCGAGAAGCTTGACAATCTGCGCGTCCTTCTCCGAGACCTTCTTCTCCGAGGACAGCAGCAAGATGACGCCGCGGAGCATGGTGCGCTTGTTGAGGTACTCGACGATCTCACGCCCCCACTCCTCGTGCGAGGCGTACCCGTAGCCGGGGGTGTCGACGAGCACAAGGCCGTGCTCCGGCTGCACCTCCTTGGTCGCGCCGCCGCCCTCAGCGGCTACGGGTGTCCGGAACGGCAGACCGGCGAGGGTACCCACGCCGTACGCGTTCATCGACACCGTCTTGCCCGCACGGTCGCTGACCTTGGCGAGCGAGGCGGAGTTGGTGAGTGCGTTGATAAAGGACGACTTGCCGCAGTTGCTGGCCCCGACGACGCAGATCTCGGGGGTTGTCGTGTTGAGCGGGTGGTGCTTGAGGCGGAAGGCCGAATAAAGGAACTTGGCGGGCGGCGAGAGGAAGAACCGGGCGACCTGGGCGTGCGGGACGTCCCGAGCGTAAGAGGCCACAATGGAGCCGCCGTCGCCCTCGAGCTCGGGGAGAGGTGGGGGCGAGCTGGGCTTCGGGTCCTGGGACTCGCCCCGGATCGCTGCCTTGATATCGCTTGCGGAGGCGATGCCGGTGTTGCGGTTCCTCTGTGGCGATGCGGGTCGAGGGGGCTTGGGAACGGGGACGGGCTGCTGGTGCTCCTTTGACCTCTTGGGGGGCACGTAGTAGAGTGATCTGGCTTCCCAGACGTCTTTTGCAGTGTCAATCTTGTCCAGCTCATCCTGCGACAGTTTCGGCTGATGAATGGTTAGTATAGGATCTCAAAAGGCATAGTCCCTTTCAGGCTTGGGATGCCGACTCACCACCAACACGAAGCCGCCGCCTTTTCTCACCGGGGCCTGGGTCCTCGGCTTCACGGGCCTGCTCCTGCGAGGCGGGTCCGTCCGCGACGGCGATGAGAATCTTCCACCTCGCTCACGGTCGTCTCGAGGGGCATCCCTATAGCCTCCGGGACTGAACCGGTCGGTCATCCCCCTGTAAGACGCGCTCGCCCGCGACGGCGACAAGGTCCTTCCGTTACGCCCGCCATACTCCTCTTTGGGTTTGCGCCTTTCGAAACCGGGTTCTTCGTGGCGGCTGGGATGCTTCCGTCCGTCGAACCACCCGTCCGCGTCCGGTTGGGGACGCGGGATGTAAGTCCTGGTCGGCGTGGCGCTCAGCCATCTCTGTGTTGAGAGGCATTGTCTTTGGACAATGGCTCGGCAACGGCACGCATTTCTGAGCATCCTGAAGACCAATCAACAAGACCAGTAAATGATGTTATGGAAAATTCCACTTCATCACCACTAATAATGAGGCAAACATTGACTGTAGGAGATATGGATATGGATCATTTGGCACTGATCCGAGTTTGCTGCGAAATATGTAGGTATACATAGCAAACATATCGTTATATACATATCTATGCAATTAGAGACATCGTTACCTTGTACCAAATATCCGCTTGTTTGCTGACAAGACAGTTTCACAAGACTTCACAACAAGGGAATCGCGGCGTGAATGGCCTCTAATTTGTCTATCTTCACTATGCGTGGTTCATTAAAACCTCATCATGCATACCAATTCAATTCCATTTGTAAAAATAAAAAAAGCAAAACCAACCCGTCGAACGCCTGCCGCATCTAGTGGCGAATCGATCAACCACCGGCCTGGTAGCGGTAGTAAAAGTTCTTCTGGTTGTTGAGCTTCACGCTAACTCCGTAGTCGTAACGTTTCTGGTGACGGGTAGCGTTGCTGCGACCTCTGACCTCCTCCTGTCTGACGACACGCTTCTGCTTGTCAGTCGCACCAGCCATGCCCGCAGCATCTCTACGAGCCACGGCACGGTGGTTCCGAGTCTTCCGGTCACCGGTGGGGGCAACCTCTCTGCCATCGACATCCATCTCATCGCCCGAGCCTGCCTCGATGGCCAGGCGCTCCTGACGTTCCTCGGCAGTGGGGTAGTTGTGGAGATTCTGTCTGAAGTACCGGTTGTGAGAGCGGTGACCGACTGCCTTGCCAGACGGCAGGTGAAGCTCGTATTCATCGTAGAAGACGGCACGGGTGTGCTTGTGGGCATGAGAGTGCCAGCCATCCGCCTGGTGGTGATTGCGGGGGTCGTCACGAGCATGGTGAGGGTGCTTGTCCAGACGCTCAAACTGCTCGTAGCGGCCATCCGCAGTGAAAGCCGTCAAGTCGGCCGAGTCGAGAGAAGAGGCTGAACTGTCCGTCTCCCATCCATCCTCCGCGCCATCTTCGACCTCTTCGCCGTCTTCACCAACAAGCTTGGTGGGACGCTTCAGACCCAGCTTGGCCCCGCCATTCTGCTCAGCCTCGTCGTCCTCCGACTCGTCGCCATCGGAGTAAGTGCTGCGGAAATCGTAGAAGTCACCAATATCCAGCTGGACCTCCTCGGTGTCGTAGGGGATCTTGCAGTGTCCTTTGTCACGCATGTGGGTCTGCACGGCGAATGCCGTCTTCTTGGTCTTGAAGCAGTACAAGCACTGGTGGCCCTCATGGATGCGCTCCTGAAGGTGCTGCAGCAGACCCTCAAGGTCGACCAGGTACTGCTTCTCGGGGATGAACATGTCGTGGAATCGCTCCATATGGTTGGCGTTGAGTGGGACAGTGGGTGACTCGTAATTGCAGAAAAGGCAGGACTTTATGCTCCAGGCGATCTCCGGCTTAGACGGAACGGGAGTGGTGGAGTCGGACTCGCGGTTAATGGAGGCTTCATCGCTGGCACGCTGGCCCTGAGCAGATAATTGGGGGTTGGAGGGACGCTTGACGGGGGATGGGCGCTCGTCGTGGGACTCATGAATGTTGGCCTTCTTGAGACCCTCGACAACCTGGGTGAACTCCTCCTCGGCCTCGGAATCCAACTCGTTCTCCTTGTCGACAGCGATGGGCTCGCCGAGGGAGAAGGTAGAGCTCATGACAGAGCTGGCATCATCGGCGACGCCACCCTTGCGTCTAGCAATGGCGGCGACGCGGACCTTGTGCTTCTGGCTCGTGAGATGGTTCTGGTACGCATTCTCGCTCGAGTACGACTTCTGGCACGCATCACAGCTGCGCTCAAACAAGGCCTTCTCTGCCTCGGCCGTCTGAACGGCGCGGGCCTGTAGAACCTTCTCGTTGAAGACTTCGGAGGAGATGGGAGGAAGGGAGGCGACTCTGCGCTTGAGGTTGTATCGACTGGAAAGATGATGTCAGTTGGTTTGAGCGGAACAGCGCGGAAACACCATGGGAAGCCCGGAACAAAAGATGGAGAGCAAGAATAGGAGAAGAGGTAAACAAACTGTGGGTAAAAAGGAGACGAAGATAAAAGCGAGGAATACTTACTGCCAGTCGCTCTTCATGTGACCTCTTTGCAAGTCGATGTTTCGGTACGCAACAGAGCAGGTGTTGCAGGTGTAGGGATGTGAAGCGGCGGTTGCCCCTCCATTGGCGGGAATGGCACCGAGAGCAGCAACATCGACGCTCGCCATAGTGAATGTCGTGTGCGAAAGACGTGGTCTGCTTTTGGTGTCCGTTCCTATGCTGGCGCGACTATTCCAAGAATCCGAAGGAATAGGGAGTGTGATTGCGCGCAATTATAAAGTTGCAGGATGCGCAAAAGAAGAGGAAGAGGGGAGGCAAAAGATGAGCGTCCCGGCGGTGCAGGTGCGTCAAAGTCGGGCGGATGGAGGGGAAATGATTTTAAAAGGCAGAGGGAAAATTCGCCAGGGCTTTAGTGGGTTAGGCGGGGGTTTGAAGGGACGTGATAGGCACGTCACCTGCAGTTTAGAGCCCTTGGGTCGGGCCTGTCCTGAAAAGTTGTGCCACTGGCAGGCTTGAGCCTTTAGCGTGTTCCTGGCAGTTGCTGCCCTGCTAAGTGGGGCAGTGTCGTCTTCCCCAAGCACGGAGTACGGATAGGCGATCCCTTTTTTGGGGTTTCGGGGGATCGAGGGGGAGAAGGGTTCTACCTGCTTCTTTCTAGTCCGATCTAGCTGACATATATAATAGTATATATCAGGAATACATACTGGGTGGTAAGCCAAGGAGGAGGCAAAACTCTAGTAGTGTGCTTGTCACCGTTTTGGAAATAAGGTACCGTTCCTTATCCGGCAAAATCTAACTGATTGTGAGTGGTTTGGAGGCTGCAAGCCTCGACATGCATGTCTTGCTTTCGGCCTGTCTTGATGAATAATACATGCGGACAAAGGTCTCCGATGCAGCACTGGAAACTTGTCTGATAAAGATGGCCAAGAATGGTCTTTGAGCAATATGGCGTTTCTCAATACACAGTGCGACATTGGTTTATACATGGGTTCTATTCGTTTGACATTTTACTTAGTAAAACGATACCTGCGGCTACGCGATCAGATTTCAAACCGGCTCACACGAATGACGAATGGAGGGTAACCTCCGGATGTTCGACATCATCAAATATTCAAATGAGTGAATGACTGACTGACTTGACTAATCAGGATGGGATGGGGTTGTTACGGGGCGGGCAGTGGCGGCATTTGAGTTGGAAAAAGGTCGGAGGCAAAACCCGCCGATGGCGCCGAGCCTGGTTGGACGTTGGTCCGTCCCCAGTGGTAGGCGGCTGATATCAGAAACACCCTATTCCTGGTTCGTCCTGTTTTGGGCCCGAGGGTGGAATTCGCATGCTAAATTCAGACCCTCTGCGGAATGTTCCATGTTCTGATTGCCTGCTCCCGTCCCTCCGGATCCACTCCTGGAGAATGACCCCAGAGACCGTGTCCCGTTCTGTCTTAACCGCACCGTGTCATCGCCGAGCCTCGTGGCGTGCCCATACGGTGCCCATCTCCTCCTTTTACGCCAGGCGAGACTGTTGCCGTTTCCCCTGCCTACCCACCCGACATCCCGACAAGTTTATTCATTCATCGCCAACCTTTCTCTGCTTGCCCCAGCTGTCGCTTGCTGGTTGTAATATCTTCTGAACGAGTACTAACTATATTCCAACCGCATCAGCGGCCCCTGCACTTCCAGCTTCTCCTTCTTGCTTCAATCTCCCGTCTTCGCTACCCGCCCGCCCTCTGCCGCATTTCCTCCTCTCCGTCGCCGAGAGCTATTCAACTTGACCATCAAATACCCCCACGGCGCCTGCGACCCGGATGTAATGACTCGAGATATCCGCTGTCCCGAGGAGGGACCTCAGCACGAGACCAGCCTCGATGCTGATCTCCTAGCTGCCCTATGGGAAGACGCGCCGTTTGCGCGTCTGCCCCCCGATGCGCCGCCCGAACTGAAGGACATGGTCCAGACCATCGAGAACCCGAAGCGTGTCTATGCCATCCACCGCGCCAGTCGCCGTCACAACTTCCAGATCCTTGTCGAGATGTGCGTACCCATAGACCTAGTCGCCTTCCTTCAGCGCAACCCAAGCTAACATGCCTCTTCTCAGATACATCCTTCAGCTACGATACGGATGCGACTCCAAGGCCTGTACGACCCCGACCTGCTTCTCCTGTCGCAAGCGCCTCGCCGGCAAGGCGCCAATACGAAGATACAACACCACGAGTGCAAGGACATTGGCCGTCTACCTTGCTAGCCAGGACAACCCCGAGACGGGACTCTGCCCCTACCTCAAGCCCCCGAAAGAAACCCCGGCCGCCCTGAACTCGCTCATATTGTCGCCGAAATCCGCCGCGCCCGCCTTCAATGACCCCTTTCCGAAGCGTTCCGCTACACCAAAGGGTCCAAGGCGCCGGAAATCAGTCACGTCTGCCAGGCTAAATGGCGAAGACGGCGGTTCTCAAAAAGCCACCCCGGGTGCTGAAGAAACGGGACGCCGGCCACCCTCTCTCTCCAAGGAGCGGTCGCATTTCGATTCGACGACGGGCGCCGCAAAAGTCGCTTTCAAAGTAGCCGAGCGGCCCATCAGCAAAGACTATCGCTCGTTCGCCGCCAATGTCTTCGGGACTGTCGCCTTCAAGATGCTGGAATGGCTCACTCCAGCTGGCCTGGATGCTATGTCTGAAAAGGTTGCTGCACTAGAGGCTGATGCGACGCATAGTCCCTCGAGGGAGGAAACTCAAAGATCACAGAAGCCATCAGGCCAGTCAACGCCTACACAGTCAATGCCCTCAGTCATTTACGCCGACAAAACCTCGAGCGATGTGGCCCAGCTAACAACGGACCATGGGCCGGATACTGTTCTCGACCAGGCTTCTCAAAAACTACATAGTTCAACCTCGGCGTTGTCTAACTCACGGCCCAGCAAGCCTAAAAGGAGCTCAAGCGCTAGAGTAAGGGCCAATTCGAAACCCACAAGAAAGCTTTCTATCGAGCCATACCCAACCTCGTCGTTATCCGAGGACGTCACCTCAGGGCTGGCTTCTCCCAGGACGTCGCATGAAAAACCATTGAGGCCGTCGAAACCGTCCCACGTTAACCCTTACGCCATTCCAGAAATACCATCTACACCCTCTTTTTTTGACAGTGTCCCGCCGCAAAATCATTCTGTAACTATCGTCCAAGAGCCAGAGTCACCGCTCACGACAAGCTTTCGCAACGCTAGACCGCCAGCAGAGTCTTCCAATCCACGAGAAGTGGCAATGCAGACCCGGACTCACCATGCACAGTCGAGCCATTCAATCGATGATACCAAGCACAGCGAGCAAAGCGAGGAGCCGGTTGACGTGCCAATCGCCGACAACATGCTTCCGCAATCATTGACATACCTCAACGTCGAAGTGGTTGATCTTTTGTGTGACATTCTCCAAGACGATGGTACCTCAGAATCCCATCTTTTCGACCCCCCAAAAATCACCAGCACGTACTCCGGGCTCAAGGGCCGGGCTCCCAAAATGCAGAGAAAGCGCAACCCTCGGAGTACCTATCCCAAGCGACTCCGACGACAGTGGAAGCTGTTCATCGAGCAAAGCCTTTTCAACATCCTGAGCGATCCTGCTGCCCTGGTCTCATCCTTCGTCAAGGACGATGAGCTGCTTGATTCCCACACAATCTGGTATTGCATGCTGAGGCTTACACGAGTAGCTCCTAGTCTGGTTTTCCACAGCTTGTGGATGGCTGCCGGGAGCCTCTTTGGAGCACCCAAGTCACTCCAGTCTCTGCGGTCCCCCACTACCAAAGTCTTTCGCCGGACTGAATGGTCTCTTGCTAATCTTGAGGCTGGTCATTTATTGTCAATATGCCTTCACGCACTGGTGGCAGCGGCACCGTTGATAACAGACTCTAGAATACTATTTGATATGTCACGGGTCCGCTCAAATGGTTTGACTTTGGCAGGAAGCGGTGCTCTAGCGCGACAACCGGCCTGGTTATGCCTTCTCTACGATGACGCCTTTTCAAATGAATTGGCACTCAGACTTGCGAGGCGTCTTTTTGCTGCCATCTCTGCACGGAAGTGTTTTGCAGATATGGCCACGCAAGACGATGGCGTTGAGGATGAAGGGTCAGATGCCCTTTTGCCTCTCTTGTCTCAACTAGACCTGCTTAATTCGTACTCGTCTTCAAATCCCGAACTGGTACACCTCGAGAGGGCTGGTCATGAATCAAGGGTATCGACTCTGCTTTTGGACTGGGCCAAGACAGTTATGCTTCAGGAGTGGGATGGTCAGCCTGAAATATTGTGCGATGGCTCCTTCGGTGGAGCTTTGTCATTGATTGCTGCCATGTGTAAGTTTGCAGATCATCCTCCCTGAGGCCTTCAATTAACTTTCCTTATAGACGAGAAACGTCAGGACCTGCTTCTAGGAGACGTCCAATTCCGCGTGGATTACTTTGCAGAGAGGCTAGACTCGATTAACATGCCTGTCGCCTGGCTTGCCCACATTTCATCCAAGCAGAAGAAGCATCTGCTCGACTACCCCTTCATTTTTGATCCATCTACCCTAGTTTCTTACTTTCGATCTATCAACTTCTCGAAGATGAGCCGAAGCTACGAGGAATCCAGCTCGCTCCAAACACGGATGAAAGCGATTGTTGCCCCCGGAGGTCTTATTACCAACCCTCATCACAAGCTCGTTCTGCAAGATCTTTTGAAGACGGCATCTTCAAAGTACTTGATCCTCGAAATCAGTCGCAAGAACGTTATCAGGGATGCCTTTGATCAGCTTTGGCGGCGGGAGGACCGAGAACTACATCGACCATTGAAGATTCACCTGGGCGAAGATGCCGGAGAAGAAGGTTTCGACTCGGGTGGAGTTCAACAGGAGTTTTTTCGACTTGCTGTCGCCGAGTGCCTCAACCCAGACTATGGCGCCTTTACAGTGGACGACCGAACTCGTATGGCTTGGTTTGTTCCTGGGTCCATCGTGCCGTCGTGGAAGTTTGAGATTCTTGGTCTCCTGGTCTCGCTGGCTGTCTACAATGGCCTAACGTTGCCCATCACTTTCCCGAGAGCACTCTACCGCAAACTGTTGGGCGAGCCTGTAGACGAGCTGCACCACATCGCCGACGGGTGGCCAGACCTCGCTATGGGCTTGACTACGCTTCTCGAATGGGACGAGAGGCAGGGGCTGGTAGAGGACGTTTTTGCTCGCACATACGAATTCTCGGTTTCAATGTTCGGCCAGCCGATTTCTCGTGAAATGAACGACCAGACGCGCAGCTGGCCGCAATTCGAAGTCGCGGCAGGAAAGTCACTGGCGGACGAGAATCCCAAGGATGCTCCGCTCGTAACCAACGAGAACAGGAACGCATATGTGAGTGATTACATCAAGTACCTCACAGACGTTTCCGTTCGCCCGCAATACGAAGCGTTCGAGCGCGGTTTCCGGGCGTGTCTGCATCACAAGGCACTCCAGCTTCTGACACCTCCGCTCCTCCAATCGCTCGTTGAGGGTGTGCAAGAGATCGACATATCGGAGCTACGCAGATACACAAGGTATGTCGGATGGGATGCCAGCCACCGCGGTGTGCGAGACTTCTGGTCAATAGTCAAGCGCTACGACGAAAAGATGAAGAGACGACTCCTGGAGTTCGTGACGGCCTCGGACCGTGTGCCTGTTGGGGGCATGAAGAACCTGCAGTTCGTCGTACAAAGGAACGGCGAAGAGGAAGGCGAGCGCGGGCATCTGCCCACTGCATACACATGTTACGGCACGCTTTTGCTGCCCGAGTACAAGGACAAGGACGTTCTGAGAGAGAGGCTTGCCATGGCCTTGGAAAATGCGCAGGGTTTTGGGTTTGCTTGAGCGAGAATAGGCGAGGAGCTGTATGTTAGAATAAAAAGGTCCATGGATGGACCGGGGGGTATTCTCATTGGTTTTGATATCCTTAGGATTCCTTACTTGCATCGAAAAGAGAGCGAAATGATACTGCCTGTCTGCTTTTGTGTCGTTGTCCCGAGCACCCGTGGCTCCTTGCTACAATACCAGACTCGTTCGGCCTGGTCCTAAGTTACCATCAGCATCTACCTTTGGTCTTGCTTTCTTTTCTCTCGCCTGTCTTCGTGAATGCCCAGCCAGGGTCTTCTCACGTTTCAAATCGAGTGTTCTCAAGTACACCGACTAACTCGGACAATGCACTGCGTAGTCTGCCATGCCAGCGTCAACTCAAGGCAGTCAGAGCTGCGCCTCGACCATGCACCGGCGGCCAAACCAATGGGCGCTGGCTGCGGTTGGGAAAATCGCCCATTGTCGAAGGTCTCGGCAGTCACCTCCCTGGCGCGGCCAGCCTGATCTGCTTTCGCCGGCTTTGCTCAACATCCAGCAAACCTCTGGGTACAATATCAGAAAACACTTTTCTCTGTGATTCCTACAGTCGTTGTCATCGGTCTATATGCTCTGAGTATTTGACCCCATAAAGTATCTTCGCCTGCCCTCGATCAAACACCACGACATCGTTAAGCGCCACCACCCGTCTCCGAAACAGAAGTACAATGTTCAATTGGTACGAGTCGACTTGCTGTAGCCCCGATGTCGTCTTCCTCGACGGTCTCAACGTCCCCTATTGTCAATCTTGCGGAGAAATTGCTGCTGTGGACAAAGCTAAGAACGCGGCGCTGGATGGAACATTATCCCAGCCGCCATCAACGGCCAATTTCGAACTCTGCTGGCCGTCTTCGCTGCCATTTGTAGAAGATGGCAAAGCTAATCAGCTCGGTGTGGAAAACGAGTTGCCTACGGTGGCGACAGGCTCCTCTTCCAACACAACCGACAAATACCAGCCTTCCTCGTTCGACTCTATTCCGGCAAACGCTGGTGGCCTTGGAGAAGCTTCCGCCACGTCTTCGTATGAGCCCCTTTTTGCACGAAGGATTCGCATACTTCGACTGTTTCCTGGGGCGTACGGTGACCCTATAAGGGGTGAGCTACGCACCATGGATTTGGCATACAAGCCAGAGTATGAGGCCCTGTCATACACCTGAGCCGACCAATCAGGCGATACCTCAAGGTCTCAATTGATCTTTCTGGGTAAGCGCTGGGACATCATGGCTATCACAGGCAACTGCGCCAATGCCCTCCGTCGACTTCGATATCCTGGACGGGCTAGAGAGGTATGGGTGGACGCTATCTGCATAAACCAAGACGACACACGCGAGAGATCTCACCAAGTTGGGATAATGCAGTACATCTACGCAACTGCGACTAAGGTTGCTGTCTATTTGGGTGAAGACCCCAGCGACCCGGACCTAACACCGCCGACGACATGGAATTTTACCAACCATGGTAACACCTTGGATTCTTCAAGAGATGTCAGCGGCCAACCTTACTTCTCAAGGATCTGGGTTATCCAAGAAGTTGCATCATCTCACGAAAAGTATCTTCTTTTTGGATCAAAAGGGTGCAGGTGGCAAGATTTCTTTCATTCGCAAGAGAGACTGCATCAATTGCACCCTTGGTTGCAGCAGGTTCTCAACCGAAAACACAGGGGTCTGTCTAGAGGAGTTACCACAGCTCATGCACGCAACAGTCCACTCTGAAGCATCCGACCCCAGGGACAAGATTTTTGCTCTACTGGGTCTGTTTTTTGGAGCACGGAATGCTGGTCTGGTCGCCAACTACGCTCTAAGCAAGGAGCAGGTATTCAGTGGTGTAATGGCATTTCTTCTTCTTCTTCAAAACCCAAGAGATATGAGCCGTTATCTCTCAATGGTGCAACCAAGGCCCTCGTCAAATTTACCCTCCTGGGTCATTGACTGGTCATCAAACCTCGACTGGCCTGAGGAAGAAGCCCTGTATGTTTCGGGGTCTACGAATGACATACCAGACATGGTCTCTGCAGAAGATTTCAACGCCATCCGCTTCGATAGAAGGGGGGGACTTTGGATGAAGGGTGTTTCGCTCTTCCCTCTAAGGAAGTACGTCACGACGACCGTCACATAGGCACAAAAGAACGACAAGGTGTTTGCGGTGGCAGAACTTCCACATCACGGGATGATCCTCAGACCAATTCCACACAATGCAAATAAGTACAACTTTGTGGCCATCTACGAACGACCCATAATCGGCAAAAACGAAGTGTTCTACGCCCTTGACCGCATAAGGATCCTACTTATTTCCACATGGAACTACATCTTGGGTGATGGTTCTTGGTACAACTTGAGTAGGTGGAAGGCAATGGAAGACGCTTGTTCTGCCATAGAAGAACGTTGGAGGCTTCTGGAGAGCGAGCAGTCGCCACCTTTTGGAACGAATGCGTCAGGAATCCTCAAAGGTACTATCGCCGGAACGGAAACGATGAAAACCTCGTCTCCTCAGCCATATCTTAATGAAATCGCCGAAGAAACCATTGCTTCCGGTCGACAAAACAACACGATTGCCAGTCCATTGGAGCTTCTCCGGGAAAATCTTCATCGTTTACACGCTACTTGGAAAGACGAAGAACCTCGGGTCCCCCAGATGCGTGACAACGCTATAAACAAAAGTCTTGATGAATTATCTTCGAAAGAAATAATGAAGATCAAAGGGGTGGACGCTGCAGATATTTTTATCTTCTACCATAGCAAATTTTCCACTCTCTCGAATTGGGTACAGAATGGCAAATCCTTACCGAACCGGACGTTCTCCAGTGGCTACGGAAACCGGACGAAAAATGGAAATCAGAAGGTCTGCGCGAAGAACATATACACCAAATTCTGACAGCGCTCAAGTGGCCCAACAGATGGCTTAGACGTTCCGAGAGCATCATCGGCCAAGACATTATGCTGGAATCACTGTTAGGGCAGCGGCTCGACATCAAAATACGTACCCTATCAGTTATTCAAGAAAACCATCTCGAGAAAGGCGGCACAATTTATGGCCTTCCGAATAGATTCATGGAATGGCTATGGTATAGTGTCGAGCTGCCACACGAGCCGGGAGAATAACTGCGAGAAGAGTGGCGAGAAGAGTGTCGAGAAGAGTGGGAAGAAGAGCTGCGAGAAGAGCTGCAAGCACAGCTGCGAGGAGAGCCGGATCTATGGCCCAGTGAGAGGCATCGAGAACCAACCTGGGGAGAAAACTTTCTCTACACATGGAATCTTCTAACCCAAGGCGATATCAGCGAAGAGAAGCGCACCGCGTATTTCTGGCCGTCCCCATCGTCGGGCTCGTTCTCGAGACCAATCTCGCCCGCCACCAAGGCAAACTGGGCACCGCTGCTTGACCTGGTTAGAGAAACTCGGGCACATCTTCTCCCGCTCAAGGAAGATTTCATGAGTACTTTCAGCTCTCTCGAACTCATGAATAGATCTTCCGCAAAACCCATGTGGGAAGACATTTGCATTGTTTGAGCGGTGCATAACCCGGCATGCGGCTGGCGATGCCGGCGCTAGTGGCTGAAGCCAGAAAGGCCGATCCACCCGATGGCCGATGTGGATCTGCTCGGGACGGTAGGCCGGCACTGGGGCGAAGTAGCGAAGCACGGAGAGATCGGAAGGGTCGTGACACGCGGTTATGGAAATCGGAATGCCGAGCCGTGTTTCAATGGAGCGGATCGGCTTCGAAGTGCCTCTTGAGATTCTGTTTGATCATTACGTTTGCTACATTTGGGTGGGTTTTTTTTTTTTTTTGAACTTTGCCGCCATCAGGCGTTCGGACAATCCACCCTGGAATCCTTACCCGTATCTAGGTTTACGCACTGCAATATGTGGAAAACTGGGAAACATTATTGATAGATCGTGCAACAATTAACATTACATTCGTGCCTCGTCGACGTCTTTAAGTATATACAAGAAAGGGGGGCACCCAAAGCGGCCCCGGGGATCTGCAAACGACTTCTCCTCTTTTTCTTTTTGCTAGGGGGGATCCGGCACCTAGCAGACGTTAAGGCGCGCGACGGACGGGTCGTGGTCACTGACGAGCTCGTCGTACAGCTCCCACGAGTTGACGTGGATGTGCTCGTACGCGGTCCCGTTCCTGGCGGCGAGCGCGGGGCTGACGAATATGTGGTCGAGCTCCTGGGCGTTCATGTCGTAGGCGTACGTGTAGCGCTCCTCGGCGGGGGTGCCGACGACCTCGTCGAGGTCGAAGAGGCCGGACTTGGCCGCGAAGACTTTGAGGGGCTCGACGAATGCGAACTCGTTGAAGTCGCCGGAGGAGATGACGCTCGCGTCGGGATCGGCAGCGAGGATCTCGGCGATGAAGGACTGTTGTACAGAAGGGGGTCAGCAAGGGGTTATGCAACACGAGGCTTTAGGGGCGGGAGGAGGAACGTACGCCGGCGAGCTGGGCCTGCTCGATGCGCGCGTTCACGACGCCATTGACGGGAGGGCGGAGGTCGCCGTGCAGGGAGGAGGAGCCGCCCTTGGAGGCCAAGTGAACGTTGACGGTGAAGAAGGTCTTGCTCTGGGTCCCCTTGACGGTGCGCCACGCGGCGACGAGGGGCTTGCGGCTGGCGTCCCACGCGCTGCTGGCGGGCGCAATGCGGCCGGGGTTGTACTTCAGCTCGGGGCCGGGGAGGACCTCGTTGGCGTCGAGGCTGCCGCCGGGGTTGGGCTTCCACAGCTCGACGACGTCGGGCTTGTAGAGGTACGCGACGCGGATGTTGCCGCCGGGCTGGCCGCCATCCTTGCCGTCGACGGGGTCAACGACAGCAAAGTCGTAGACGACGCCGGAGCGGGACTCGATCTCGGTTGTGAGGGTAGTGAGGGTAATGTTGGACGAGACGATGCCGTTGTTGGTCGGACCGCTGTTGTCCTGGATCTCCTGGACAAAGATGAGGTCAGGCGTCTTCATGTAGTCGACGATATGGGCGGCGATAGAGGGGAGGTGGGCCGAGGAGGGGGCGAGGTTCTCGACGTTGTAGTCGCCAACGGTGATGCCCGTGCAGTCGCCGCTGCTAGCCAGAGAGGTGGCGGGAGCGTCGTTGGTGGCGTTTTTGGCGATGGTGATGGCTGTTAGAGGCAGGATGCGGTAGAAGCCGAAGGCGTAGGTCACAACGCCGGTGATCTCGGTGAGCTGGTCGCCCATCTTGGACTCGGGATTCTTGGTGCCGTCTAGGGGGGAGCCGATGATGATGGCCTCGGGGTTGGAGTCTTGGGGCACGTGTCAGTTACTCACTTGCTTTGGCACACATTTTGAGTCTTACCCTTGTCAGTCATGGTGATGCCGCCGTGCGAGTTGCGGCCGGTAGTGGGCCAGTCGCCAACGACCCAGGTGTCGCCGTACTGGTTGGGGCGGGTGACGGCGACGGGGTTCTTGACGGTGACAAGCTCACCGCTCAGGGACTCCCAGAAGTCAAGGCCGTAGAGCTCGGGGTTGAGGACGGGGTTCTCGGTGGAGATGTTGGCGACGGCGTTGGGCACGGCGTAAACGTCGCCGCCGTCGAGGCTGGTGTACTGCTCGGTGGGAGGGGGCAGGGTGTCGACGCCGATGACCAGCGGGACGACTTGGTTACCCTTGGAAGCGACGACAACATTCTTGGGGGAGCTGAGCTCCGTGAGGTAAATGTAGTTCGCTGCGGACCTACGCCTTGTTAGCCAAAGATGCCATATAGACAAAAGCGCTGCGCGCGAGGATGTGCCTCACCTGTACTCCTGGATATTTCCGTCCAGAGTGATGAGGTCGCCAACGGAGAGGTTCGCACCGACGGAGCTGCCGTAGACGTAGAGGGCCTCGGAGGTGGCGGCGTCGTCGTCGGGCGTCGTCGAGCGGATCCAGATTCCGCTGGGGCCCTTGGCGAGGACAAGACCGGTGACGTTGGCCACGGACTGGTCCTTGAAGGGGGAGAGGAACTTGTTGCCGTTGATCTCGGCGATGGTCAGGGCCGAGGCGGCACCGGCGGCGGCGAGGAAGAGGGACGCAACCTTCATCTTGACGGGCGGGGGGTTGTCTCGCGACGATGCTTGGAGAAAGTGAGCAGTAGACGCGCGCGCGAGAGAGCACCGGCGGAAGAGGGGATCACGAGAAAGAAGGCCACGAAGCTCTTCCTGAAAATCGGCGTCCTAGAATAAGCAAGAGATGGTCCATTTGGCTCCTATTGAACCGCGAGGTTGTCAACACTATATGTAGTACGGAGCTGAGCTTTCAGCTTGTGGTTTCTGTCCCCAGTTCCCTGATCAGGGTCGTATCATGACGAGTCGAGTGCCAAGGAAAGCGACAAGGTCATTGGGGCCCTGTGGGACATTCCGCCCTTGCATCTCGGGAGCTGATGGCTCTTTGCATGTGAGCATACGCGTACATGATCTACATCTGCATGGAAGAGATTGGCGGCTAGGTGCTATGCAGAGGTTGGTTTTCACTGGACGGGACAAACAGAGATCCTACCGATCGGTGAACAAGGGTCGGTCTTGCGTCGTATCAATTGACCTATTAGAGAGTCTCGTACCTGGCAAGTTCTGTTCTTGGCGCACCCTTGACAGCATTGGCAACGATACGACTGTATAAGGTAACCAAGATAGGAGCCAAACACGCAGAGCGCCGCAACAATGTTTTGTCTAACCCACGCCCAATCGGGAAGGTGGATGGGGGGCCCAGCTCCAGTGGGGATAACAAAAAGATTGAACGACGTACCGCAATATGGGGAGCGAAGAAATGAGAGTGAAGGCCAAGAAGCAACTCTGCCTCTTGACTGAACCGATCCAAGAAGCTATAATTACAACTGGCAGTCCGCTTCAACCAGTAAGGAGGGAAAGACGAGGGGAGAAAGAGTCAATTACTTACCTATCCATACCCAAGTAGGTAGGTAGGTAAGCATGTGCAGTTTAGAGAGATAATTAGCTATGTCACTAATCTGCGCCTTATCGCCTGCCAATCATTACCCACACGTGCTAGTGGGAGGGAACTGATGCACCTATCCAAGGCGGTGACTCTTAAGGTCGAACGGCACCCACGGGTGACAAAAATGACGGCCGCTTTTCCTTACCACTACTGCCCATATGGCAACTGGCCTCCTCTTTTTTTTTTTTTCCCTTCTTTTTTTTTATAACCTTCCCTTCTGTTGTTTATCACCCGTGTGTACGGGTACACAATCCTACATCGTAGGTAATGATAGAGTCGGAGTATCAGTGGGAACATGCCGGCCCCACTCCGACCCCGGTCGTCCTTGGATGTGCCCCTGTTGCTTCGCCGCCGTCCGAGTCCAACTGTCGCCCGCCGTTATTTTCCGAGTCACAGACACGCACGCACTACCTACCCACTTAGGATTCTCATCTCACTCCCCAAAGTTGCAACGCCTTCTCTCTCACTCAAGTAGTCACAGGCCGGCCAGGATTCGATTTGGAGGAATATTCTGTTCCATTCTTATTCTCATGGTATCGCAACTTGAATATATAAGCTTCCGGAGGCGGCTTCGCCTGAATCCTTTCTCACTGGATTTCTCTAAGGAAACCCGCGGGTTCCCAATGTTCACCAAACGCATCCCAAGAACCTTCAGCCCACGAGGTGAAAAGAATCCCTCGCAGCAAATCCCGTCATGAGAATACACCCAAACAAAAGGAGATTCTTAACGGCGATGCGACGGGAGGAAAAGCTGCTTCGCCGTGAGCCCCAAGCGGGGCCCAGCCAGCCGAGTTCCGCGCGCACCACCGAAAAATATAAATGTGGTTTTTGTTGTTTTCCCCTTCAGCCATTGTGACGTGACATATCAGCACACTCGACAAGCAGCCCTACCAGCGAAGCTGCCACGGGTTTCGCCGTTGCGTTGGCCGGGTCCGCTAGGACAAACCGCATTGCAGGACCCGGCCCGGCATAGTGATCCTTCGGCTCCGGCATCAGGAGCCAGACGGAAACGCCCACTGCCGTTTATTCCGCATCACCTGACTCTTGGTCGCGCCCGAGGAGGCCAGAGAGGAGCGCGAGAGGGTTGCTCTGCTTCTGGCCGCCAGCCGCTCCAGCACCAGCACCAGCACCGCCAGTGAGCTGTGGGTAAATTAGCATCGCTGTCATTCATGCACGACTTGAATAAAGCACTTACACCCGAGAGGATATCGGCGAGAATCTGGTTGTCCCCAGCCGCAGCCTTGCCTGCGTCGGCGGCACCACCAGCGTCGCCGTTCTCCTTGGCCTTGGCATCATTGTCCTTCTTGCCCTTGCCATCGACAGCGTTGGCAGTTCCGTTGTTCGCAGCACCGGCAGCCGCTCCGTTGTCCTCTCCGTTGTCCTTGTTCTTCTTTGCGTCCTTGTTGTCATCCTTGTTCTGCTTGCCCTTATCGTCGCCGGCGTTGGCGGTTCCATTCTTGGCAGCACCGGCAGCCGCTTCGTTGTCCTTGTTCTTGTCATCCTTGTTCTCGTCGTCCTTGTTCTTGTCGTCCTTGTTCTTGCCCTCATCGTCGCCGGCGTTGGCGGTTCCGTTGTTGGCAGCACCGGCAGCCGCTTCGTTGTCCTTGTTCTTGTCATCCTTGTTCTTGTCATCCTTGTTCTTGTCGTCCTTGTTCTTGTCGTCCTTGTTCTTGCCCTCATCGTCGCCGGCGTTGGCGGTTCCGTTGTTGGCAGCACCGGCAGCCGCTTCGTTGTCCTTGTTCTTGTCATCCTTGTTCTTGTCGTCCTTGTTCTTGTCGTCCTTGTTCTTGTCGTCCTTGTTCTTGCCCTCATCGTCGCCGGCGTTGGCGGTTCCGTTGTTAGCAGCACCGGCAGCCGCTTCGTTGTCCTTGTTCTTGTCATCCTTGTTCTTGTCGTCCTTGTTCTTGTCGTCCTTGTTCTTGCCCTCATCGTCGCCGGCGTTGGCGGTTCCGTTGTTGGCCGCTGCGTCTCCGGCCGCAGCTTCAGCAGGGGTGTTGGCGGCGGCTTCACCTGCCTTGTCCTTGGGGGCATCAAGTTCGGCGGCGGCGTCCTCCTTGACGTCCTCCTCCTTGAGGTCATCCTCCTCATCGGCTGACGATGGATGTTAGTTTCAATATGCGTACACAGGCGGGTGAGTTTTGTATGTACCTTGCGCTTCAGCCTTGTTACGGCGGAGGCTGGGCCTGACGTCGACGTTGGCCGCCAAGTTCATGTTCCTGGCGTGCAGAGCCACAGACCGCTCATCATGGGTGGGGAGCGCGATGACTTGGGCAGCGATGGCCGCAATGGAAAGGAGAATGGAGCTCTTCATTTTGAATAAGGGCTGGAAGATATCTCTCGTCACAGAAGTGAAAGACGAAGTAGTAGATATGAGAAAATTTGACGATAACACAAAACTGAATGAAAAAAAAAAAAAAAAAAGGTTCACGGAACCGTTGAGAATGAAACGAGATTGAGAAAAAAAATTACCCAAAAGGACTGGACCAGCCAAAGAGAAGGAACTGAACCAGAAATGGAGATTTGTTTGGAAACTTGGGAGTGTCGAGAGAAGAGAACGAAAGAAAGATCGGGATGGGCTGGGTTGATATAGACGTCTAGACCATCAGGCTGGAGCGAATGTGGTCCAGGTGGAAACCCTTGGGAATTCCATACCAAGCATCCAGCATGGCCAGCTTGCTACACTGAGGTTTCAATGCCAAGGATTGAGACATGTTGTCAAACAAACGATGTGAACATCATCTCGCGCCTACTACGGCCATGTCAGCCATGTCACAAACCGTGACCCATGGATGATGGCGAGGGCAGTGCAGGGTTGGTGGAGCCAGAAGAGAGAGTAAGGGCCTTCTTTCGGGTTGAGAGGCGTGAGCCAAGGATCACGACGGCGACGACTACGACGTGACGGCCATCTCGCGACAGACCCCGGAGCAGTCGCGAGCCGGAGAGAGTGGAGGCGCGGATCCGAAAATAAACCCTATGCATGGCAGGATGTGCAAAGAAAAAGGTGAATGCAACCGACATGCCATGGGCTTCATGAAGGGCTGTCCGTGGTTGGCGGTGCAGAGAGGCCAGGCCCAACCGGAGGGTATGTTGATCAGACGGGGTGTGCTTCAGATATGCTCCACCCGGTCGTTCAGTACGCGGTGTGGCAAGCGGATTCCAACCCAGGGCTTGCGAGCTAAGCTTCTTCCCACGGGGGGGCTACCAACCAGCGCGGTCGCTGCCTTGGTTTTTACATACCAAGTCCGAGGCTCCCGGGGGTCCTGTTCCTGCGCTACGCTACCGGTACCAATAGCCACAGCCTCACAGGTAATTACCTAGGTAGCTAGCTCGCTGGTGCAGTTTGATCGGAGGGCAGGCTGTCAAACCTGGGATGAAACGTCGGCGCTTGGCGAATTCCTTCTCTTGAGCCTCGTCCTCTTCCTTCTGCTTCTGCTCCTCCACATCTTGCCTCTCGTTGGCCTACTCCTTTCTTCTGTGCGTCTGGATTCGTCCCAAGTCCCCAAGTGGGCGACCCGTCTGCACCCCCATACTTTGCACCAAGATGGCGGTTAAGGATACGCGCGCATGGCCGAAGCCATGATGTCTAAATTTCAGACTGTCGACGATGCACCCTGCGCCGTTTCTTGGCAAGCAGGAACCTATCTGGTGAATCGAAAACGGGCCCCTGGGTGTTCCAGAAACAGCAAGAGTTCTGGATCGTTGGGTTCGCAAGATATGCCGGATCTCTGCTGAGGGTCATCGGTTGCGATGGCCGCAAGGTTCTGATAGATACAAGGGGACGGCGGTGCGGTAACAGCGTAGGTATACCAGACGCCGGTAGGTAGGATCGAAATCGTTACATGCCTTCCTTGTATCTTGTCCTCCTTCTAGCTGCAACCGCTGCCCGTTTAGGGAATTTCTTCTTTGGTACCAGGGGGAGTGGCCTTCCTCGATGAACTGGCAAGATGATGCTTGTTGGATTAAACTTGGCCGCGGGTTGCGTACCGTAGCTGCGCCAACCCCTCCGTCTCGATCCACAATTAATGCCCGGAGCTAGGAGCCCCCTGGCAACGAACATGGTGGCCCGAGGGTCGAGTGTCGAGGGACGGGGTTGGGGGGAAGGACGGGATGGTGTTTCAACTAGTGCGTCGAATTGCCAAGGCCATCCGTCTAGTCGAAGCAATTAGCGTAGGTAGTCAGGTGTTGATTGTTGCATACCTACTTCCCTGGCTGGGCCTTGCCTTCTCCAGCAGGTGAGCGAGTGAGTAGCTGGCCATGTTAATAACAGAGCGAATGGTCAATAACGCCAAGAAACCTGCTTAGGTAGTGTCGGCGATGCTTTTGATCTTGGCTACCGAGTCTCAGATATCTCTTGGTTCTGTCATGATTTGCCCCGTTGCCAAACCAGCCCAACCTCAGACCCACCTCTCTCTTTCTCTTGCAGTCTTGAGACGTTGGGCCAAGAAGCTCGTAATCTTGGGTCTTGTGCCTGTGCCTGTGCCTGTGCCTGTGCTTCTGCTTCTGCTTCTGCTTCTGCTTCTGGGGAACACTGAGGCGTTCGGGCGGTCTCCAGAGATCAGAGTTATGGTAGAGGCCAAGCATTTTGGCGAGGAGAATCAGGGGACGAACAGGTAGGTACGTACAGACTGTACGGATACAGTGGGTGTGTTTGCGATCCTGTTTGGAAAATCCCGGCGGAGGCGGGAGAGAGAGACGATCGGCGAGCGGTGCATCACACAATCAAACACCCACATCCACACCCATACCCATACCTACCTGTACATGGTACCCACATGAGGAGGAAAAGGCCCGCTCCCATCGTTTGCCCGATCAGTGAGTGATGACTGGGTTCGTGCCCCCTGCTGAGAACGAGACAGACAGGCCGTTTGGAAAGTTACCCCTTTGACCTCGTTTAGTCCGGGTTTTTTTCTTCTCCTCGGTCTGTCACAGTCGCGGTATTTACCTACCCGAAACTGAGATTGAGCAGAAGGAAAGAGGACCCCGCGGTTACCCTCTCGGCGAGTAAGTACCGTCCGTACCTGCCGGTAGGTAATTATTCACATACACCACGTCCGAATCACGTGGCTTCTCTGCATACATACCTAGTCGTACTTCCTTCCATCCATTGCAGCATCCACGCGGTTGCTGACGAGTTTCCATTTCAGATTTGTCAGGTTCCCCCTTCCATCACCTAGACCACCATCTACTCGGACTGCTCCTGCCTACCAAAGGCCTGGTACCCTTATTCCGTGACATTACCCTGTTCTCGGCACGCGCCTGTTTTGCTTTCTCTTCCTGCTTTGAATCGTGCAAGGCAAGGATGCGCACAATCATCCGACTTCAGGCGGCGCCATTGTCATGGGACCGGTCTACCGGTATCCACCCTTATGTGCGTCCATGTGCTTCTGGAACCCACATGTGAGGGTGTCTGTCCTACCGCCATTTTCCAACTTGCATCGGCCTTACTGTAAGGATATCGCCGGTTGTTGGCCAGCGAGCATTCGGCGACAAGGCCCTATACCATGTAAGGCATGTGTGATGTAGTTCTGAATTGATAAGAAATACTCAGTTTTAAGTGCTTGCGCCTATGACTTGATGGGATTGCTTTCCCTATACATCAGAGAATACAGTAGTCCTCGGAATATCCTGCTAGACCTTATCAGTTTCATCATGTAAAGTACCATACCAATCTTCATGATCGTAACACAGATGTACACCCAGTCCCAACTTTGATGATTCGAGAACATCATCTCAGCTGCCTGTTCTGCTAGTGCGTAAACTGCCACTTGAATATTGGCCGAGACGGAAATGGGGAAAACCGAAGCGTCAGCCACGCGGAGGCCTGACACACCAATCACGCGCAGGTCGGTGTCTACAACAGTACCCATGGCGGCTGTACCGGACGGATGATGACAACTCCTACACGCTCAATGTCAGAAGGAAGCCGACGGTAGATTCAATGGCTGAAGGTAGATTAGAGAAGAAGAGATAATGGTTACTCACCCGGCCATCTCGCGAATCCGGGCGTCAATCTCCTCATCTGTAGAGTTGATGCTCAGAGGGGAAGATGAACTCTCGCCAGCCACAACATCTCGGCCAATAACGGTATCATTAGATGACATTAGTCTAATCCCTCGTTTTATAGTTTCTCGGGCGACGTAGCGGTCGACATTTGTGCTCAGATATCGATGACCGATAATTGGCGCATCCTTAATGTCGGCGGATTGAATGATGACAGAGCCTCGAGCAGAGCTGATAAGCACGATGGCTACCAGCATGATAGACGATCCGTCTGCGGAGACGCCTCCGCATTGAACTTGAAATGATGAATGGGCTCTATCTTGCTTGAGCAATGGGTGTGTTTTCGGGTCTGGGGCCGATCCTTCATCCATGGCTATGGCGTCAGCCAAGCCATTTTTCGGAACAGGCGTGACGGTTATCAAGTCAATAAAGCCCCCGAGTTTATACTGAGGCTGATGAAAAAGAGGGTTACCCGTTTCTTTAGAGTAGCCTGCGGATGGGTTCTTCACGCTCCAAGAGGTGGGAAGAAGGATGTGGTCGTGGAGATTTCGACCAACAGATGGCTGATCCAAGAGAACGGGGATGCCAAACTTCTCCAATACGTCGGCCGGGCCAATTCCTGAAAGCATCAATATCTGCGGCGTGCGATAGGCACCAGCCGTCAAGATTGTCTCCCGGCCAAGGAGTGTGGTGCCGTTGGAAAGCTGGACTCCGCGGGAAATCAATGGAGATTTGCCCTTGGCGCGCTTCTCCAGCAATACCCTGGCAACAAGGGTATCGGTCAGGACAGTGACACCCTTCTGAGAGTATATGAGAGATGCGGGCTGACGTTTTCCTTTATTTCTACTTTCCTGCATGTTGGCAACACCGAGGTTGTTCCCAGCATTGCCGTCAAGCTGAGGAAGAGTGGCGATGCCAATCTCTTCCCAAGATTCAATCACGGGCTCGCGTAGCGGAAAGGTTCGGCCCATAGCTGCTGGCGATTGTATCTTTACGCGGCCTTCGTGACCATGGGATGATGGGTTGGTCAAGTTATCGAAATGTGTTTCTGTCTTCCGCATGTAGGGCAGTTGCCCTTCGTAACTCCATCTTGGGTCAGCTACTGTGTCGGCCCAGATATCGTAGTCTACTCTGTTTCCACGGACCCAAGCAGCTTTTTCAATGTTAGTGTTAGCACGAGGGTCAACCTCCGGGATGGTTCTATCACGAGGCACTTACCTCCGTTTATGGCAGTGCCGCCACCTAATCCCTTACCCTGCGGGGTAGCTATCTTTCGATCGTTAAGATTCACCTGTGGAGTCGAATGAAAGTCCCAAGTGTGGTTGTGAATGACCTCGGCGTCATTGTCGAGCAAGTCGATGTTCGCAAGACGGTGGGTGTCAGGGCCGGCTTCGATTAGGAGAATTCGAAGATGCGGGTTCTTCTCGTGCAGTCTATTCGAGATAACAGAACCGGCTATGCCACCTCCTACCACAATATAATCCCAAATGATCATTTTTCTGACTCGAATATGAAGTTACGAGTAATGATAAAGAACACAAAGAACTGCAGGCCGCCAAGCACAATCATAAGAGGGACCAGTCAGCAATGAGGAACGATTTTAGATTTTGGTGATCAGCAGCCGATGGCGATGCTCAACATTAGAGTGGTTTTTTTTCCTGTCAGGGGAAGGTCCTAGATACTTGTACAAAGCCATACGTGTATATCCTGAGCCAACAAGGTCCCATTCCTTCTTAACGCCAAGGGAGGAGGGGTAGCAGAATAGCGCGGTAACACTCATCAAGTAACTGCCTGTTATGCAAATGGAGAGAACCTTTTTGGTTGAGTATATGCAAATGGCGTTCAGAAGAAAATGCTAATAAGACTACGGCATCTTAAGGGGATCGATCTGTGTGGCGTTGGTCGGAATGTACAGTGACATGCAGAAAGCCTGAAGTCATGTGGATGACGGTTAGATAAGTGGTTGACTTCAGACTTTCTGCGTGTCGCTGTAGGGGGGAACCAGGTCGGCTTTGGGGCACGAGGACACCCGTGTGGCCCACGTGAGAACCACAGCACGTCGCGTAGTCGGACTGGATTGTGTGGCAGCCATACTTCCCCTCAAGTTACCTATCCAAGTTGACGCGTTATCCAACATTCCCGCCGTCCTCGATCAGACCCTAGGTAAATTAGGTAGGTAGTGTCCTACCGACGTACATGACTGACAACGACTTCGGGCATCGTCATCTCAAGTTTTTTCAAACTCATCCGATCAATATGGACAACCTCAGACCCAGACGGCTCCAACACCAGACTTGATACGTCCGTCAACCCACAATGATCATGCTTCTTCCCAATATTTCTGCATCTTCACTATCCGACGAGTGTGCCGGTACGCGGCGCGGGCGCCGTCTCGTCCGTCCAACACATAAGGACTCGGACTGCCTGTCTATCTGCCTTTCTTCCCACCCACCCGCGACGGGACCTCCCAGTACCGGTATCTACTCTACCTGTACAGGTGAGACCGAATCTGCTTTAGGCAATTCACCGGGTGGCTGTGTCTGCCCATCGCCGTGCCGCTTCCCGACACCGGTAACGCCCTCAACCCGATTGGTACTCACAACCCCCTGCCCCCTACCACTGAGGACTTCGTAGACTTGGCTACCTACCTACCGGCGGTACTCTACCTAAGGCTCAACCACCCCCGGGTCACGGAGAATTCGTCTGGGCCTACCGGCGGCTACAGAAATGTGGTTTCCATCCCGTTCCATTCTCTTCGCTCTCCGACAAGGCTGTTTTGTCTCCCATTTCAATTGGTACCTATGCTATAAGTTCAGGCATTGCCCCGTCAATGCTTTTTACCTTGTTGCTACCACGCTTCATTACCTTTGACTTGACGCTCTTACCAGCACGCAAAGTATCAGAACGTTGTATTTGGACCATTTTTTGTTTGAAGGCTTCCGTTTGACTGACTCCCTGCATCTTGAAACACCATCAGCGACAGAATATTCCCGCGCCTGGTCGACGACCGTGTCCATGTGGGTCTCGCAGCCGGTCTGCCCTGCCGGCAAAGATGACTCGCTCGGTCCGTGGGCCGGAGACTACTGCCGGGGAGGCTTTGACCTCACGCTACTGTTCGAGGAAGCCATACTTGCGGTTCCCTTGCAATCCCTCCTCCTGCTCGTGCTCCCCATCTGTGCCCTACGCCTAGCAAGGTCGGATGTCAAGGACGTCGCCAGCACACTACGCCACCTCAAAGCCGTCAGTCCCGACGAACTAGCCTTACTACCCCATGTTAGGACTGGCTGGCTGACGTGCTGACAGTCTGCATCCGTTTGCCTGGTTGCCCTCAACCTTGCCCATCTCGTACTGTGTATCACCACGCCCTCGGATGCCCCCCCCCGCACACGGGCAACCATTCCCACTGCTGTCCCCAGCCTCGTTGCCTCGCTCGGGGTGGGTTTGTTGTTATGGCTCTCGCACGAACGGTCCCTGAGGCCGTCCTTCATCCTCTCCACTTACCTCTCCCTGTCGGTCCTGCTGGACACCGCCCGTGATCGAACTTTGTGGATGTTGGGCTCCAGTCGGACCATCCCTGCTGCTGTCTTCACATGCACTTTGGGTGTTGAGGGCTGTCATGGTCCTTCTTGAATCGACAGAGAAGCGCCGCATACTAGTTCCGCGACACAAAGGATACTCCAAGGAGGTCACCAGCGGGACTTTCAGCAGATCCGTCTTTTTCTGGCTGACGTCGCTCTTTGTCAATGGATACAGGAACATCCTCCGCCTGGACGACCTCTACCCACTGGATCCGAAGCTAGCCTCAGGGCCTATATACAGGAAACTCGCCGACGCGTGGGACAAAGGTAAAGCATGAAATCCCCGCCAGTCCCGACTAATCTATATGTTGACTGCGAAAAAAGTCCCGGACAAAACCGTACCCGGCGCCCTGTTCAGCACCTGGCTCTATACGTTTGCGGGTCCCCTGTCTGCGCTCATCGTCCCGAAACTCTTCCAGATTGCTTTCAATTATGCCCAGCCGTTTCTCATAGACGAGTCGATCCGCCTGGCCAGCCAGCCGCAGACGCGGCTCTACAACAATCGTGGCTTTGGATTGATAGGGGCGTACGCTCTTGTCTATACCGGCATTGCTGCAAGTTCTTCTCTTTTTCGTCTAAACTTGTTTCGTTGCAATTGCTTCAAACTCAGTAGCCATTCTGGAGATGTATAACTTGCTAAGGCTCGACACTGTGTGCAGGTTTCGACGGGTCAGTATGATTGGCGCAATCAGCGTGCGGGATCGATCACGAGAGGTAGCACAAGAGCACTTGTCTACAGGAAAGCACTGAGACTGGATCTATCGTCGCCGAACATCAGTCCCTCGGGAGCATTGACTTTGGTTGGGACCGATACCGAGACTATCAGCAAAGGCATCACCCATCTTCATGAGGTGTGGGGAGGGCTCCTGGAGATCGGGATTGGGATTTACCTAATCTACAGGCAACTTGGGGCTGCTTGCGCCATGCCCATCGCCCTCATCTTTGGTACATCAATGTCCTGAGTTCTCCATGGGATGCAAATAGGCTGATTCGGTCATCAGCCGTCCTCATTGCCACGGCCTTTTTCGCCATTCCGACTGGCAAAGCGTCAGCAGAATGGATCAAAGCCTCACAGGACCGAGTTTCAACAACCCCGAAGACGTTGGGAAGTATAAAGTGGCTGAAAGCCTCCGGTCTTAATGACGTGGCCTTTTTGGTTATCCAGAAGCTCCGGGTTACTGAGCTGGAGGTGTCAAGAAGATTTAGGATCTTGCTCGGCGTCTCTATGATGTTCTGTGAGCCGGTTCTTTTTTTCTTTTTTTCTTTTTTTCTTTTGCCATGTCTGTTACTGACGATGGCTTACAAGTGATTTGCACGCCGATTTGGTCTCCAATACTTTACGTTTGGCACTTTTGCCGGGACAGCATCCCGGCGCGGCGACACTTTGACACTTCAAAAGGCTTTCACGGCATACTCTCTGTTGATCCTGGTGAACCAGCCTCTGGTTGGTATTGTCATGGGTCTGCCCCTTCTCGCAACTGCCATGACGTCTTTCCAGAGAATTCAAGACTTCCTGAATGGAAAGGAGCGCAACAACAGCGGACTCATCGCGGACAGTCCGAAGCGAAGTGAAAATATCTTGACGGGGAACATGGATTCTCGGCGCCCCGATCGGAAGACCGTGCCGTCGCAGGATCTCGAGCTCTTGGAATTGCAAGGGGACGACTCTGCACGGTCCAATCTTGCTGAAAACGTCGTCATTTCCGTCAAAGGAACGTTCGCGTGGTCGGAAGACTCCAAACCTGTCATTGACATCGACAACTGGAACATCAAGCGAGGGGCTTTTACTTTGGTTCTGGGGCCTGTTGGATGCGGAAAGTCGACACTTCTCAAAGCTCTCCTCGGTGAACTTTCATCCTTCAATGGAACTATACATACAAACCTGAGCGGCATCGCATACTGCAGCCAAACCGCGTGGATACCGAACGATACGGTACGGAACATCATTATTGGCTTTGCAGCCTTTGATCCGTCCTGGTTTCAGACTGTCATTAGAGCCTGTGCTTTGGAGCAAGACATCTCCAACTGGCCACAGGGAGAGGATACTGTGGCTGGGAGCAAGGGGATTTCCATGAGTGGCGGACAGAAACATCGGCTGGTACGTCTCCTTATAATGACTAGCAGTTCCTGGGTCTAAGCATTATTCAGGCTATTGCGCGAGCTTTGTACGCAAGAGAGGAGCTGCTGCTTTTCGACGACGTCTTCAGCGGTCTTGACCCTGGTACTGAAGACATCGTCTTTAACGGCCTTTTTGGTAGCGACGGCTTGCTTAATGATACTGACACGACCGTTGTCTTGACATCGTCCAATTGTATGTTCTTCGAGTTCATTATGCCACCTCCACGCTTTGCTGATAATTGGTTTGCAGCGCGTCGACTACCATTTGCCGACGAAGTCATCGTTCTCAGTGAAGATGGCCAGATCATAAACAACGAAATAGCCGGGCGATCTACCAGGGAGCAATCTCTCGGGAAGGAGACCGTCGAATTGAATAACTTCCCGAAAGCGGCACCTCGTCAAGCTGGAAGCTACAATGACTCTTCGCCAGCTGCGTTATTGGGCATGCTTGAGGATCAGGCTGACGCCACACGTCAACTGGGCGATTGGGGCATGTACAGTTTCTACGCCAAGGCCGCCGGATGGTTCAGTCTGACTGCCTTCGTCAGCGCCATGGTTGTATTCGCCTTTTGCGATTCTTTTCCAGGTAAAGCTTAGACCGGTTCTCTAACATGGCACTTGGTTCCTGAGCTGATATGGGATGGCCGTAGATATTTGGCTCAAGTGGTGGGCGGAATCGAACGAGACGAGGCCGAACAAGGACCTTGGCAGGTGGCTTGGTGTCTACGCTGCTCTTGGGGTCGGATCTGTCGGATCTGTCTTGTTTGGTATGTGGTAAGTTCAGGAGAAAATCGTTTACTTCTTTGTCAATCCTAACAGCTAATATTAGGCAACTCTTCATCGTCATCATCAATCGGTCCGGCGTCTATTTTCACGGTGTATTGCTAGACACCACGTCTCGGTGCGGCGTTCGGGATTCCCTCCTACCTCTAGATGTGGACTAACAAGTCTAGTGCACCGATGTCATTCCACAGTTCCATAGACAGCGGGGTCACAGTCAACAGATTCAGTCAGGACCTCCAACTCATCGACATGGCACTTCCGTCAGCTGCACTCGGGCTAGCCATTGGTTTGCACATCCGCATCCTTCGAAACAAGACTCACACCACCTAATTCTGGTTCCATTTAGGCGTAGCGGTCGGGGTGGCCCGCTTCATCATGATTTCCGTATCCTCTCGATACATGGCCGTCATCCTTCCCTTACTGATCCCTATATTCTGCTCCATCCAGCACTTCTATCTTCGCACCTCGCGCCAGGTGCGTCTCCTCGACATCGAGCACAAGGCACCGCTCTACTCCCATCTGATCGAGACCCTCGAGGGTTTGGCGACAGTAAGAGCGTTCAGGTGGGAGGACGACTTTGAGAAGACGAACCTGCACCGACTGGACAACTCACAACGACCCAGCTACCTGCTCACTTGTCTCCAGCAGTGGCTGACATTTTCCGTGGACATGGTGATTGCGGTGATCGCGATTGTGATGATGACGCTCGTCACGACAATGCGGGAACAGATCGGGCCTGGGTTCATTGGCATTGCTTTGACCAATATCTTGTCCTTTAGCGGTATAGTAAAAACGATCATCACTTCATGGGTCACTTTGGAGATCTCACTCGGCGCGGTTGCGCGGGTGAGGAACTTCACCCTGACCACCAGACCCGAAGGGGATGCCGAGACCCATCTTGCTGCGCCGGAAGATGAGTGGCCCATTCGAGGTGCGGTAAAGATCCGTGGCGCAACAGCGTCATATTCGTGAGTCCGAAAAAGCATCTCGTCATGTTAACAAGTAGGAGGCTAAACATGTTTCCAGGTCATCCGGTCCGGTCCTAAAAGGGGTCGACTTGTCGATACAGCCAGGCCAAAAGGTCGCAATATGCGGTCGAACAGGCAGGTAAGCCGTCCCTTGTCACTCCATAGAGGAGCTGTGAGAGGTGTCTGACATGAAGCGCAGCGGCAAAAGCTCACTCATGCTCTGTCTCCTCCGCATGATGGAGCTAGATGCCGGGTCTATTACGATCGACGGCATCGACATCTCCACCCTTCCGCATGAGTACGTCCGCTCCAAGCTCGTGGCCGTGCCGCAAGAGTCATACATCTTTGACGGGACAGTCCGTCTGAAACTCGACCCCACCGAGACTGCCCCAGACTCCGAGGTCGTGAGCGTTCTTGAAAAGCTACAGCTCTGGGCCAAGGTGGAGGAGCGAGGCGGCCTCGACGCGGTCATCGACGACACGTTCTTTTCGCAGGGCGAGGCGCAGCTGTTGGTCTTCGCGCGGGCGATGCTGAGGAAGGGCAAGGTGCTGGTCTTGGATGAAATCAGCAGCAGGTAAGAATGAGTCCGCATCTCCTCAGCTAGGAGCTTGTTAACAGGCGCCATAGCCTGAACGAAGAGTCGAGCCGGGTTGTCAACGAGGTCCTCCGGACGTGGTTCCACGACTGGACCGTCATCGTCATTGCACACAAGCTGGAGTCGATCCTGGAGTTTGACCGAGTTGCGGTCATTGATGCGGGGGTGGTAGTCGACTATGACGAGCCGCAACGGCTCCTCGGTCGCGCCTCCTCTTTCAAGGCACTGTATGAGCACTCGTCTCGGCCGATCTCTTAACGAGGAGCCGAGTCACTGTACACTACCCAAGTTTTAGGGGCAAGGTAAAGGTAAAAGCCCCTACTCAGCAACTGTAATTGTAATACCCAATGATACCCCTCTTCTCGAGTAAATTTATAAAAGAAACGAGACGCAAGCAATGGAATGGAGTGCAGTCGTAATGTTTGATGCGAACGAAAGCCGTCTCTGGTGGGTGTCCAGTGTGTGCCGTCGGCCGGCGTCCGGACCCTGCCGCCTCGGATGTCGAAGTACTACTTCGCCGGATTGAACATACCGGCACGGAACACTATGTCGCCCAGACTGCCGTGAAATCACAACTCCGGGCGCTGGGCTGGACACAGTCCAAGGGAAGAGGAGGGGGAACAAAGGGGAAGAACACTCTGCCGGGAACAATTGCCCTCCCTCGCAGGCCAATTACCGCCCACATCTCCCGAGCGGCCCCTCGTAGGCGACCCCACACTGCAGTCGTAAACGGCGGGTCCTTTTTATTTTATTTTCCCTTCTCCAGCACATCGCTGTCTGGGGTTCGGGAAACGAGGGGCAACAACAGTTACCCCCCCCCCCCCCCCGCAGTACCCCTCCCCCACCCACGATGCAAGGTACACACTTCTTAAAGCTTTCGTCACCTCGGTTTCTTCCCATCCTTTTCTCTTTTGACATGGTTCTCACTTCGACCCCATATTTTGCTGGTATCGCCATCTTTACCTAATTGGAGCTCGGGCTATATACGGAGTACACCTACACCAGAAGCGTAAATCCGCTCCAAGCTTCACCTGCTTCGCGCCATCTTCATCCCCCTACTGCGAAGCACTTCCCGTCCAGCACATGCCCCCACGGCCATCGCGAATCCTCCAAGCCCTCAAGACGACGAACCCCACTGTCAGGCTCTTCTCCACAACGCCCAGGATGCCCGTCCACCACCTCATGATCGGGACATGGACCCCGCCCGGCGCCATCTTCACCGTTGCCTTTGACGACGAGAAGTTCACCCTCGAGCTCATCAAGCGCACCGAGATCCCCAAGAACGAGCCCATATCGTGGATGACCTTTAGCGTAAGATGAAACCTTTTCTTGGAGTTGCCTGTGGGGATGATGTGCGGCCCATCTTTCTGCTTGCCGGAGGGGGGGAACCAGTTTGGAGACCCGGGGAAACAAACGCGGCTTACACGACAATAACTTGGGTAGCACGACAAGAAGAACCTGTACGGCGCCGCCATGAAGAAGTGGTCCAGCTTCGCCGTCAAGAGCCCCTCTGAGATCGTCCACGAGGCCTCTCACGACATGACCCATGACCGTACGTCTCCTCGCTCCTCCCCACCCCGGGGATGTCGTCGTGAAGCCTTCTCACCCCTAGCTAACACCTCCCTTCCCCAGCCAACGCCGCCCTCCCGACAACAAACACACGCGCCATCTTCCTCCTCGCGGCCCAGAAGCCCCCATACGCCGTTTACTGCAACCCCTTCTACAAGCACGCCTCCCACGGCAACGTCTTCGCCGTCTCTCCCACCGGCGCCCTCGACGCCAACGTCCAGAACTACCCGTACGACCCCAACACGGGCATCCACGGCATGGTCTTCGATCCTACCGAGACCTACCTCTACTCGGCCGACCTCACCGCCAACAAGCTGTGGGTCCACAGGAAGCGATCCCCCGACGCCCCCGAGCTTGAACTCGTCGGTTCCGTCGACGCCCCCGACCCAGGCGATCACCCGCGCTGGGTCGCCATCCACCCCACCGGCAAATACCTTTACGCCCTCATGGAGGCCGGCAACCGCCTCTGCGAGTACGTCGTCGACCCGGCCACCCGCCTCCCAGTCTACACCCACCGCTCCTTCCCCCTCATCCCCCCCGGCATCCCCGGCGCCAAGAACAAGATGTACCGCTCCGACGTCTGCACCCTCTCCCACAGCGGCCGCTATCTCTTCGCCACCGCCCGCTCCAACAGCTTCGACGTCACCGGCTACATCGCCGCCTTCCGCCTCGACGACAACGGCCACATCGCCCGCCAGATCTGCCTCAACCCCACCCCCACCAGCGGCGGCCACAGCAACGCCGTCAGCCCCTGCCCCTGGACCGACGAGTGGCTCGCCATCACCGACGACCAGGAGGGCTGGATCGAGATCTACCGCTGGCAGGACGAGTTCCTCGGCCGTGTCGCGAGGCTGCGCATCCCCGAGCCCGGGTTCGGCATGAACGCCATCTGGTATGATTGAGGCACGATGCATTGAAGGCAAGAAGCAAACAGTTTCGGGTATAGATAGGCAAGGCACGCTTTGCGGGGCTTCATTCGTAAAGAGTGTGCATATAGGAACATAGACACCAAGGATATTCAAACATCTAGTTTAGGCAACCTCGGCAATGGTTGGTGCCCTGGAGTTGCCGGCATGGCACGTTGTAAGAACGGTACGACACTGAGCGAGAAATCATTGTAGTTTATCGAATTACTATTCGCCATCATATGGATGCAACCCTGCCTACCAAACCCGGACAGAGAGACAAACACACCCGTCTACGACTTGTTTTTTCTCTTCTTTCTCCTGTTCTTCTTTTTACTCGCTTGCTGGCTGCTGCTGTTATTATTGATGCTTGGATCAGTGTTAGACATGCCATCTCCATCGTTTTCTTCGCCCTCGGCATTGCGACCGGAAGTCCGAACATTGACCTTACCGAAAGACCCAGAACGGTGTCCGGAGGATCCCTTAGATGTGGTCTCGTCGGAATCCGAGCTGGCCGCCTGAATAATGATTTTCCGCACACCACTGCTGGTCTCAAACACGTTCTCGCTGATGCTACCGCTTCGAACAAGAGGTCGGCGCTTTGGGGTGGCGAAATCATCCTCAACAGGGCTTATCACGCTCGTCCCGCTGCTGGCTTGACCGGGAGAGACGATGATGGTCAAGTCTGTCCGGCCGGCCTCGGGACTACCGCTTGCCGCAGTTTTGGAGCCGTTGTTCTCGGGGACGGTGGAAGGTACATTAATCTCGCCGGCAGCCTTGTCATCCTCGGCATCGTGAGCGGCACTGGAGAGTCTAGCCTGAGCCTCGCTCATGCCCGCCCCGCCATAACTCTTACGGATAGCATGGACGGCGCCCTTTCCGGTGAGTTTGGGCCGCATGAGAGGTGTGTGTTCGTCCGTATCTTCGTCCAAACCGTGGTCATTCACATCACCAGCCACGGAAGCGGGGGTGTGGATCTGGGATAGAGGCACACCAGCCTGAACCGGCTTGATCTTGACCGTTGTTGACTTTGTGTTCTTGGGGTTCGACGCGCGATTGGAAGGCCCCAGGTGCTTGAGGTGCTGTTTGGCCTCATCGAATGTAGCCTTGACTGGGACGGCAGATGAAGTCATACGCCCGTCCGGACCAGTGGAACTTCTTCTCATCAGGAAAGTCGTCCTCGGCGCGCTGCTAGACAGGTTGTTCTCCGAGACGTCGCTAAGCGCACCGACAGATCCATGGCGTTCACGTGGCTCTTCGCCGAACTCGGTGAGATTGCCGTTTTGGGGAATAACTCTGGGGGAGGGCAGGACTGTCTTCTTCGGAGTTCGCGCCTTGGGCGCGGGTGTCATGCGACGAATGGCCTTGTGTACATCAATGTATACATCTGACTCGTCGATGATTTCCCTGTGTTACGCGTTAACAGACTTTCACGATGGGACAGCAGGGTAGGACTAACTCTCCAATAAGCTCCTCAATGACGTCTTCCAGGGTGACGACACCGATAGCACCATAATCGGCACCAGGATACTCGGACACCAGGACCATGTGGGATTTGCCTTCTTGGAAAAAGTTGACAATATCCAGACAGCTCGTTTCGGGACGTGTCTCGGGCAGTGTGGCCAAGGGAAAGTCCTTCACCTGCAGGCAGTCTTCGGGGTCGTAGGTAATGAGAATCTTGACCAAAAGCATGCCTACAAAGTCGGTCGGCTTTCCAGTGGCGTGAATGGGGATGCGAGAATAGCCTTCGGACAGGATGATATCCATCGTCTTCTCGTCAAGAACGGTGTCCTCGGCCATGATAAAAACATCGTCCATAGGGGTCATGACGTTCTCGACAGGCTTTTCCTTCAGGTCCAAAACTGCACTAATAATAGTAACCTCGTCCGAGTTCAAGCGTTCGCCAACCTCGCCAAGGGACTTGTGCAGGGTGACGAGGGTCTTGAGACCACTCTTCTTGTAGACTGTGCCGTGATCCTCGCCAAGGGCCCAGTCCAGAAGCTTAGCCGTGGGCCAAGCAATAGGCGCCATAAGCCACATGAGCAAGAGCACGGGCTTGGACATATAACCGCCGATTTGAAGGCCGTATCGAACACAGACGGATTGGGGTACGACTTCGCCGAAGATAACTGCGTAAATATGTTAGTCGGGTGTGCAGAGCCAGCGTGTTCTTATGTTCCGACATACCAATGAGCACAGTACTGCCAACAACAGCCTCGACACCGCCGCCAAGACAGCGATCCAGGACAACGGGTAGAGATTCGTTTACGATGACATTGGACAGTAGCAACGTGACCAAGACCCAGTGTTTTCCCTTCTTGAGCAAATCATAGACGCGCTTGGCGTTTCTGGACTGGGACTCGTCGGGGTCGCCGGCAAGGACCTGGAGGTAGATGCTGTCTTGTCCCATCAGGCTAGAAGGCAACGTCAGCAAACGGGTACGGGTACAGGTCGAGACAAAGCAGATAGATGTAAGGTGCGTAGCATAGGCGATGGCACTTACGCGATGGTCAATCCTGCAAAAGCACCTCCGAGGAGAACGAGGGCGATAGAGGCACCCATGAGGACCCAAAAGGAGCTACCTTCGGCCTCGGGCTCGCGGTCGGGGTGGTTTACGGCGTGGATGGGGGCGGCAGCGACGGTAGACACGCCCAGTGTCAAGGCCTTGGTAAGGCCAAGCACGGCAGTGCGGAAAAGACCGAAGCCGGAAGCATTGTGAGCCCGTCGTATCGGGACGACTCCCCTTGTGGCCATAATCCTCAGTGGTCAATTGAGAAAAGGTGTATCGTGAGAAGAAGCGCAAAGTGGGTGGAAGAGCAGCGAGGTCAAGCGCACATTTTATGTAGCAGACGCGCGACGGGGGAGAAAACGGGGCAGATTCAGGGTGATAAGGTGCAGTGCTCCACTCTGTTTACCTGCAGGTGCTTGTGCGTGCGTACAGTGCTGTACACCACCTACGTAGTAAGTAGGTACCTAAGGGCACAAGGCAAGGCGGGGGGCAGCAGGGCAGAAGCTCCACCTACGAGCCAAGATCGGGAAGACGAGCGGGTAGCTAGCAAGGTACCTGGGTGGGTAGGTATGTTAGTTACCTTAGGTAGGGTAAGGTAAGGTAAGGTAAGGTAAGGTGAGGTAGTTAATGCTGCTGATATACCAAAGCCGACGACGATGGACTGTAACGGAGAATAGCAATTGCTAGCGACGAGAGGCGAGGGTGTCAAAGAAGCCCAGATTAAAGCTCATAGAACAGAAAACAGAAGGATGGAAGGGGAGGAAAGGGCCGAGCGTGCGTGAGGTACACCGTACAGATAGGTAGGCTACCTACCTCAATGGATGCTACATTGCCTCGACCAGCCAATCCAGAGGCTCTCGTGGCGCACAGCTTGGCGTCATCAACGGCCGGGGAGGAACGGGGTCTTGAAAAAGTGCGAGTACCTATGATGCATCATTGCCGCAGAGACCTTCCTTGGGCCTCTGCACTGGCATGCCACACGTACTACGTACTCTGTATCTGTATCCGTACTCTACACTCTGTATCCGTAATCGTACTTGTTTTTTGTTTGTTCTTTTTTTTTTTTTAACCTTCCATCGGCTACTCGGAACGGGCAAAGTCAGTGAGTGAGCGCACTTGCTTTCGTCTCACTTGCCCCGCCATGTGCCGTTTTCCGCCGCGACCCAATGCCTCGTCATTCTGCATATCTTACCGGGATTGTGCAAAACCCGGGGTAAAGTATGCGGGATAAATGATTCTGTTCATTATCCTCGGTGCGGAGTACTTTAGTAGCCTGCACACCTTGTCTGCCTGTCTGGCCATCTGCCTACGGAGCCTCAAAGCCATAGCCACGACCGAGGCCTTGGCTTGACTTGCACCCAAGGCAGAGTACGACGCTACGTGGGTATGTAATACCTAACGCCCATGGAGCACATGCGGGAATATCTGATCAGTGGGGATACAAGCGCATGAATCTATCTACCTACCTAGCAGGAGAGGCAATCTAGTATACCTAGGTAGGTCATGCAGTGTATAGATACAGGCTGCCTCTGCAGCAAAGCGACTTGACGCTACAGCACGTCAGTCGGCCGAGCTGTCTAGTCCACACCAGCAAACCCGAAGGATTGCCCCTGTTGTCGTTGTGTCTTTGGAACCTCGGGTAGACAGACGTCCACGAGTCGTCGCGACGGACCCTGCGCCCGCCAGGAGGTCACGTTGACCTTCACTCGATGAACTAAAACCTCTGCACCACATCCTTGTATGTGGTCGTGCATTTACGGAAATCCCGCAGGATGTCATCGAAGCTACCGTCGAATGTCGTCAAAGTTTCACATGCAGGAGCGAGCGATGCATCCAAGCGGGAGGGGAAGTTTTTTTCCCTTCCTTTTTTTTTTCCTTTTTCCTTTTTTTTTTTTTTTGTTGTTGTTGAAAGGCCTCAGCCTCAAATAAGGACTGCAAACTTGATCATACCCGCCGCTACTGTCATTGATCTTGTTTACTTGATCTACCTGGTTGTAGTCGCGCACTAACATGCCCGGCCGCCCGGCCGCCTATAGCGTTGCAATAGTCAATAGTCAACAGTCTCCAGTTATTTGTCATGTCACCTACTTTCCAATAACCTACAGAGTTTCTCCTCTACCTCCTCACATCCTTACCAGGCTCACGTTCAGAATACCTTCAGCTTTCTTCAAGTCCTTCACCACTTCGCCTCCAATCTCCCCCTTGACACCCAGAATCATGAGGGCTTCGTTGCCCCCCTCCGCCCTCTTCTCCTCTCCGTCTAGGCTGGCTACCTGCATGAAGGTGATGTTGATCCCATGCCGCCCCAGGACAGTTCCTACACCCCCGATCTTGCCTGGCTCATCATAATTATGCAACACCAGCATCGTCCCCTGCGGCTGGAATGTTGCGCTGAACCGGTCCAGCTTGGAGATGTATATGCCCTGTCCCGACACATACCCCTCAATCACCTGTTCGCCATCCTCGCCGTGTGATCGGAGCGTCACCAGGCTGGCGTACACGGCGTTCTTCACCTCTCCGCTATGCGTCTCGCTGATGATGATGCCCTTTTGTTTCGCCGTCAGTCTGGCGTTCACAATGTTGACGTCTCGTCCTCCAGAGTCGCTGATGGACGAGACGAGACCCTTTACCAGAGCGGCAAACAGAGGCCTCGTGTTTGTGGTGCCTGCCAGGTCGCCCTGGTAGATGAGCTCAAACTTTCGACCCCCAATCATGCCGCCTCTACCGCCAACGAAATGCTGCGTGTACAGCCTGCCCATTTTCTCGATCAGCCGTACAAACGGTTGCAGCTTGCGGTACTCATCTGGCATGATCAGCGGCGCGTTGACGGCCGCCGTCGGCAGTCCGCCGTCCAGGATCTCGGCCACCTGCGTACAGACATCCATCGAGACATTCTCCTGGGCTTCGACCGTGGACGCGCCCAGGTGCGGCGTAGCGACCACCTTGGGGTGTCGGGCCAACTGCGCCGCTGTCGAGCCGGCCACTACGGGCTCTGAAGTGAAGACGTCGAGGCCAGCTCCAGCGATCCATCCCTCGTCCAAGGCACGAAGAAGGGCGGCTTCGTTGTACACCCCGCCCCGAGCAACATTCAGAATCCTCGCAGTCTTCTTCATCTTTTGAAATTCCTTCTCCTTCAACAGGTCCAACGTACTTGCCATTAACGGAGTGTGGATTGTCAAGAAGTCTGACATGGGTAGTAGGAGCTCGAGGTCAGGCACAAGCTCAACATTCGCTTGGCGAGCAACCTCTGCGCTGGCGTACGGATCAACCGCCTTCACCGTCATGCCGAGGCCGACGGCCATCCGCGCAACCTTCATTCCCACTTTCCCCAGCCCGATGATACCAAGCGTCTTGTTACCAACTTCAACACCGACAAGCTTGCTCCTTTCCCACTTCCCTTCCTTCATCGTGGTATCCGCGCGGCCGACATTGCGTGCCGTGGCGAGGAGAAGGGCAATAGTGTGCTCGGCGGCTGCAAAAATGTTCCCATTCGGAGAGTTGACCACAATTATGCCCCGTTCGGTCGCTGTGTCTACGTCAATGTTGTCCACGCCCACGCCAGCTCGTGCCACGACGCGGAGCTTTTTCCCAGCTGCCAGCACAGCCGCGTTCACTTTCGTCTCCGATCGCACAATCAGCGCGTGATAGTTTTGTATGGTGTCGACGAGGTCTTTGGGGGATAGTCCGGTGCGGTTATCCACATCGTACTTGTCCTGGAGTATGGCAAGACCGTCCGAACAGAGCTTCTCAGGGACAAGGATTCGAGGCCTGCCGGATGAGAACGATGACACTGTCGACGTGACATTCCTGACAGCAGAGGGAGCCATGGCTAGCACAAAATACTGGAAATTAACACGTTCGATCGTCTACAGTTCGATCTGCAACAGGACGGACAGCAATAGGCATAAAAACTGAAGGTCGCAAAGTTGAGGGGTACCGAAACACAAAGGGGCTTCTTATGCCCGCGACACTCTACTTGGGCTCATATAAAGAGCATCCCCCGCATGGCGTGGCTACGCTGGTCCGATTGGAAGGTAACACAGCAGAAGTAAGCCTATATGCCTGAGTCGGGTCCAAAGGGAAAGGTTCCGAGAAAGACTTCCATGAACGTCTCGCCTCTCCGTCAGCGGGGGACGTTAGCTCAACTATTTGCATGTGCTAATGAGTGATGGGTGTCCGATGCGGGAACCGACGCCGCAAGGCGAGCCGACGCGGGTTCGATGAACGATGCTGCCTATGACAGAGGAGGGATCTGCTGGAGAGGTATCAACATACGATGGATTAAGGTGTAAGTCGGACGCGAGGCACGCGGAACCCCTCACTTCCCCGGCATTCACCTAGTGTACCTACCTTGGTCCCGCCCCGCAACCTAATTGGGTTATAAGTCAGCCTCATTGGTTCAGTCCATTTGGCTCTGCGACATGTTCGCGGCCATCAGGATCAAGGTTGGCTGGTCCAGACGCTGCCGGAACGCCCTTGATTGGAGGAGCCGCTTTCTCCAGGCTCCCTGCAACATGGGAAGTGGCACAGATCTTGGATGGCGTCGTATGCCTCACAGATGATCCGTCGATACCATTGCTCATGGTTACTCTACCGAGGTGCGTTCCGGGCTCTGGGGACGCATTTGTCGACTTCCTTTTTCAAGAGTTGGCCATGGTACAAAGAGAGACATCAGATGCTTCGGCGTCATTCTGGAAGTTCCCTCAGCATGCGACTACCATGACTCAAAGCTTTTATTCTGTCCAAGTGGTTAGCTTTCCCGGGTATCGAGGGACGGCAAGTACGTTAAAGTCAATCGCGATGGGCCAAGTTTGAACTCTCCAACCGATCTTAGCACACCTGTTCAACGTGGTACAGGATGATGGACAACAACGTGTTCCGAAGTTGAACGGGCACTTTTGCCAATCTGAAATGGTGGCCTGCCTCTATAAACGTAGGCGGCATCAAAGCTATGTTATGCTACCTGGTTCATGGTCGACAGGCAACTGCGATTGTATCCAAGCTGATTTGGTGCCTGGAAGCAGGCAGACTCGGTATTCAGGGGTGGATGTGACAAAGTGCATGCAAAAGCGGAGGCACCCCCAAATGCTATGACTTTGGCGACTGCTATATACCGTGGCTACTTTGACAGGATGTTCGTAGGGCCAAGCGTCCTTGAAGACAAGAGGGGTCATTCTACAACGGCTTGAGGCATCAGTCTAGACGCCAGTGCACATAGGTACCTAGATTAGGCGGGGGACCGCTATGCTTCTTATCCAAAGTTTGGATTCTTCCATACCTCTCTGCATCTTAGATAAACTCTATTGAAGTGGTCTAAGCGCAAGCGTCTTTAAAGAAATACTACAGCTAGGAATGACAGGACCAAGCATCGCAGGGTCTAAATCCTTCACCTGTAGACTTTTGTTTTGCATAATTAAGAAAGAAGAGGGTAGGCAAACCGGTTGCCGGTAGTGAAAGCTGCAAAGGCGAAGAAATGGCGTGTTGTCGAGAAAAAGCAGCCATTTTCACTCGGACACCTGCCAATAGAGGCGGGCACCTGTCAGCGCGCATTCTACCACCATACCCTACTCTTTCCGTCAGTGAAATGAGGCAGGGCCCCACCTCCACTGCCGTCATCACTGCCTTAGGCAGGGACATGCTCTGCCTACGGGTCTCAACCCCAGTTGCCCCTTACCTGGCTGGTATCAGCGTCGTATGGATACTCTACCATTCCATAATCTCAATCCTACCTAGGCATACGACGGTCGAGGCCCAACTGGACAACTCTGCGATCTTGCGATTCCTCCCCCTTTCCCTCCGCCTGTACCTGCCGCATCACCAGGAGATCGCCCAACGAATTTTAAACTTTGCCCGCCACAGAGTCTATCATCCTTCACCTTGTACACACAAACAAAGGCCACGATGTCTCGAAGACCACCGCCAAACCCCGCTGCTGAAAGAGCGGCCCAAAACCAGCTGACAATCAAGAGCCTCTTGAAGTTGGAGTGCAATAAAATATGCGCTGACTGCAAGAAGAACAAGCGTAAGTTGGAGGCGACGCTATTCCCAACGCCCCCCTCCCCTCGACCCTTCCACTGACGGTACCACGTTGCAGACCCGCGATGGGCTAGTTGGAACCTCGGTGTCTTTATTTGCATCCGGTGTTCGGGCATCCACCGTGGCATGGGAACGCATATCAGCAGAGTCAAGTCTGTCGACCTCGATTCCTGGACCGACGAACAGCTCCGAAGCATCCTCAGCTGGGGCAATGCGCGCGCGAATAAATACTGGGAGGCCAAGCTGGCCCCCGGCCACGTACCCTCCGAATCCAAGATCGAGAATTTCATCCGCACCAAGTACGAACTCAAACGATGGACAATGGACGGCCCCATTCCCGACCCTGCCAGTCTTGATGTCGACGGTGATGACGATGTGCCGTTGAGCCTGGTTAAGGAGAAGCAGAACGTGGAGCGGAGGGAATCGGTTCGCAAGAGTTCGGTTGGAAAATCGGCGGCTCCTCCCAGGAACGTTACTTCCCCGCAGCCGCAGGTCGATCTTATCGGCGGCGATCCCATCCCCAGAGCCAGCACGGCCGGCCCGCAGCCCGGCAAAGTGCCCCCGAAATCCGACCCCGCGCCCCCCAAGGCTACGAGCACTAAGGACTCTCTACTGGGACTGGATTTCTTCGGCGAACCCGCTGCCCCTCCTCGACCCGCCAGCACCAACAATGCGGGGGCTATGGGAGGACCTTCGCGGCCAGACCTTAAGCAATCTATCCTATCACTCTATGCCTCGGCTCCGCGACCGCAACCCCAACAGCAGCAGCAACAACAAGCCCAGGCCGCCGGCGGAGCATTTGGCGGCATGCCGTCGCCTACCTTCGGACACCAACAGCAACAGTCGTTTGGCGGCATGACTGATGCCTTTAGCAGCCTCAGCTTCTCTAATACAAACAACCCCAAGCCGGCCCAGACAGATCCATTCGCAAGCCTGGCCAGCCCTGTCGGCAGTAGCAGGTCACCACCACCGGCGTCGAACAACGCCTTTGGCGGTCTCAGCGGCGGAAGCTTCTTCGACTCCAAGCCGGCCGCCCCTGCCCCCTCCACGCATCAGAAGCAACCTTCCAACAGTGGCCTTGGCGGATTTGGCTGGTCCAGTTCCCCCGCCCCAGCTCCGGCCCAGTCCCAGCCGAAGCCTGCTCAACCGGCTTCGTCCATGGGAGACCTGTTCGATCTGTCCGCTCCTTCCCAGCCTGCCGCTGCCCCCAGCAAGCCCTCTCCCACCCCCGCATCTTCCTCTGTCTTCAACCTCTCCTCGAACCAACCCAAGTCACCGCCTCCTGCTACCAACCCGAGCGCGGCCGCCACGAGCGCAATTGGTGCAGGGAACTGGTCTAACTCGGACGTCTGGGGCTCCAATGCCTGGAGCACACCCGACGCAAGCACTGCGCCTGCCGCTCCCAAGCCTACGGAAACACCCAAGCCTGCCTTTGGAGGAACCGGCGACTTTGGCGGATGGGGCTCGTCTGGAGTGTCCTCCGGACTGTCTACTGGATCCTTCGCCAACACGCCGATTGTTCCTGGAGCGTCCGGTGGTTTCAGCGCCGCGCCCAAGGTTGCGGCCGACGAGGAGTTCGGTGGATGGACCAGCAGCACAGAACCCGCTGCCAGTTCCGGGTCTGCCAAGCCAATCGGTGGCAGCGAGGATCTCTTTTCGAATGTCTGGCAGTAAATTACGAATTGAAGACGTTGGGAACGGTGAAGGACTTGGGATCGATGAGATGCTAGTGGACGCCTCCCAAGGTCAGGCCCTGGAGTTTACGTTGGTCTATAGCTAATCAATGGGGACGTTGGGAGATATATTTGATAAAGGGAGGGCTTCCCAGGGGGCATCCCCCGTGATTCAATTGCCAAAGCATCATAGATCAACAAACAAGAGTTTGCCCAAATATAAAGCAGGCATCTAAAGTTGCGGTACAAATAGCATGAACATTGGTGCGAGCCGTGCTACTTGCTAGTGCTAATACAGTTCAGTCGGTCCTGCTGCCTGCCCACCCTCCCTTATATAACAAACTCCAAATCCATGCGTAGGGTATTTGAACGTCCACGCCCGCCCTATATCAAAGTCCGCTCCTGTATGTGTCGTTCCTGCGATGTTGGTTTCGAGGCAGATTCGGATTGTCCCACCTCTGGTTTCCCACCATTTCAAGCCTTGGTTTTTTTTTCTTTCTTTTAATGAATAAAAATCAACAAAAGGTCATCGCTCGCTCTGTCATCCACCCCCGGTTTCATAACGGCCCCCGGCGTTACCATCTCCCGCCACTGAGAGGAAGGAGGAACGATGCCCGATGAGACAATTTCTCGTCCTCGTACGTGTTGTCGCGTATGTGCTGCTGGTCTTTTAGAGGAACAGCTTGGCAATGTAGTACAAGACAATGAATACGCCGATAATGATGCCAGACAGCTTGAGGATGGCGACCTTGTTCCCCGAAGCGGCCATGCGGGTCAGGCGGCCGGCAGAACCCTTGAGCTGGGTGGACATGGCGGAGAAGGTATCGGACTGTTTGCCGGAGGGGAAGAGCAGGACCGTTAGCTACGGTTGACAAAGACAAGCCACGTCCGGGCACGAACGGGAGGCAGTGCGCACCTGTGGTAAAGGGGGTAAGGGAGAAGGGGGAGACATACTGTGCTGTCAATGACCTCGTGGGCGCGCGCGTTGTCGTAGATGTCGACCGTCACGCCCCTGAGGGCCGAGACCTTGGCCGACAGCTCGTCAAGGCGGGCGTTGTTTTGGCGTTCGCGCTCGTATGCTTCTGACATGTTTGCGGATTTCCTCGGGAGGATGGAGGACGGGGTCGAGGAGGGGCAAGAGAAAGAGAGGGAGTCGGAAGACGCAGTGGCGATACGACGCGGATGGGAAGGGCTCGATGGACCTTTTCGATTGGGGTGCGCCTGGTTGTACGTACGCCGCTGAGGCTTATGCCCACTGCCGCGCGTGCCGGATCGCCTTCGTCGTCGTGAGTGCGGACCGTGGTTCTCGTGGTCGCGCAAGTTGAAGGGGATGGCTTAGGAGGGGAGGTGGATTCCACGTGGTTCCGGTGGGGTCTCGTCGCTGACGAAATTGCTGGGAAACGGCGGGAGTGAGGAGGAGGGCGGGAGTAAACGTGTGTATCGTGACTATCTGGCAATGAAGGTTGCGGGTGTGGTTGGATCGGGGCGGCGAAACAATGACGAAGGGGGTTCGGAGGCCGGTGCGTTTCCGTCGGTATGGCTGGCTGGATCTGCCCTCACTAAGGCGAGGCTAGGGGCCTGGAACCAGGCTGCAAAGAAGCAGGACCTCCTGGGAGACCGGCTTCTCCAAAAAAAAAAAAAAAAAAAAAAGTGACATTACATGTCAGCACATGGCCAATGCGCTTTTTGGGAGAGAAGGAGAAAGATGGAGAGGGCCATAATCCTTGCGGGTGGGGTTGCGCGTCAGTACCTAGGTACCTAGGCCTGCGCCACACTGACCCGGAGCCCGGAAGAGAGACAAAGGAGCGCTCACGCCCCTGGGATTGGACGTTGAAGTACCCCGCGAATTTGGAGGTACTGGATGGGTGGATTACCTCACTCAGCCTACCTATCTACCTACCGTATACATATGCGGACCCGGTCTCCGTCAAGGTCACACCCTCTTCTGCTCGGCCTATGTCGAGGTTGCAGCGCCTCGCCAGGCAGCTAGCCCGCCTCCCGGTCCTGGTTCTTGAAATTGGGTTCCGGCGATCCCAGAGCTGACAGGAAATGTCACCTCCTGCTTATGCTTGCTGCTGCTGCTGCCCGACCCCAAATAGGTTGAAAAGACTTCCGAGCCCGCCCCCCGCCATCCCGGGATGCATCAACGAGTCGCTTGGCAATTTCTTGCGTTTGATGAGTTGCAAGTCGTCTAATCGTTGCACAGAACTTCGTGCACTACGCGAGACTTCGGCTGAACCAACAAAGCGTAAAAAAAGAAACATTGGGCAAATTACCCTTGGGTAAGGAAACGAGCGAGTGAGCGCCTTGGCTGCACTCGTGTCGACAGACTCTCCTCCCCCCAGCCAACAGGATACACTAGAAAAACAAAACAAGGGGGGGAATCGACACTCGCCGAGCAGAAAACGAAGAGGCGCAGGTCCCCTCTGCCGTTCTTCTCACCTGTCCGATCATTCATCCAGGGAACCCCACTCAATCGTTAATTACGTGGAGGTGTGGACACAAACACCCGCCTGCATACGTAGTTAGCTTCTCGTTGCCGGAACTGTGGACGGGGAGGATCCCCAAGGAACAGTGCCTACCTATCTACCTGACCGTATTCCGTTTTTCTTTCTTTCTCTTTCTTCACCTCCAAACCTCATAATCCTTTCCGACCTCTTTCTCTCTCTAGGTCCTCGATCCGACCCTCGACAAACCCGACGACTGATCATACCGTAAAGCCTCCCCCCCCACCGACACACCCGTCAGCATGGGCCTTCACAACCCCCTCCCGTCGTCTATGGCGTGTAAGTCCACTCTTTTTTTGCTCCTTCCCTAGGTGCCGATCATCCCGCAGCAGCCAGTTATCGTTGCGCCATCAAGACTGACAGACGCAAACAGCGGAATGCAAAAAGTGCGGCAAGATTCTGACCTCCTTCATCGACCCCCGGCAAGCCTTCAGTCCCGACAAGATCATCCCTCCGTCCGTACTCGCCAACGCAAAGGTGAGCCGTGAAATCCCACCCCGCGCTCTACCCCCGCCTCCCGCCTTCGTGGCGCACACGACTTCCGAGAGGCCTTCCTGCCCGTCTCGAATCCCCTTGCCCAACATAATCGCTGACGTGCCCCGATCTGGAATCTAGGGCCTTGCAATCCTCACCGTACTCAAGGCCGGCTTCCTTGGCTCCGGTCGCTTCGGTAGCGGCCTTACCGTCGCACGACTCCCCGACGGATCATGGAGTGCGCCAAGCGCCATCGGCACGGCGGGCGCAGGCTTCGGCGGACAGATTGGATTCGAGCTGACTGACTTTGTCTTCATCCTCAACGATGCCAGCGCTGTCAAGACATTTGCGCAGGCCGGCTCGCTGACGCTCGGTGGAAACGTCTCCATTGCCGCCGGCCCTGTAGGTCGCAACGCCGAGGCTGCCGGTGCCGCGTCGCTGAAGAGCGTGGCGGGCATCTTCGCATACTCTAAAACCAAGGGCCTGTTCGCCGGCGTCTCCCTGGAGGGCTCCGTCATCATCGAGCGCCGCGACGCCAACGAGAAGCTCTATGGAACCCGCTACACCGCCGCCCAGATCCTGACCGGTAGTGTCCGCCCCCCGCCCCAGGCCGCGCCGCTTATGAATATCCTCAACTCCCGCTCCTTCAACGCTGGCCGCACCGGCCAGGTCAACGATTCCATGTACAACGATATCCCTGTTTACGATCAAGGCCATGACAACGTGGTGTGGAACGGCCGCCAGGGCACCGGTCTTGGGGAGGGTGACACGAACCACCGCAGCAGTGTTTACGGCCATGGTTCCAATGGGGGTGCTGACGGTGCCAGTGAGTTTGGTGGACCCAAGAGGGCCAGTACATGGCAGGACGACGTCTACGACCGGCAGAGCAACGGAGGCTTCGGCGGAGGGGGCGGCGGAGTGTCACGCTCCAACACATTTGCGTCAAGAGGAAGTCAGAACGATAACTACGTCTACAAGGATAACCCGTCGACCAGCCTCGTCAGCAGCCAGAAGACCGGAGCACCTGGCAGACCCGCAGCGCCGAAGCCAAACTTTGCTTCTAAGAATGCTATGCTCAAAAAGAACGAGGCGGTAGCGCTGTTTACGTTCGACGCCGACCAGCCCGGCGACCTTGGGTTCAAGAAGGGTGACATCATCACGGTGCTGAAGAAGACTGAGAGTGAAAACGATTGGTGGTATGTGGTGGCTTTTTTTTTTTTAATTTTTTTATCCTATTTATATTTGGCTGGTCGCAAAGCTGACATTCACAACAGGACCGGCATGATTGGCACGAGACATGGCATCTTCCCCAGCAACTACGTCAAGATGCGCGAGTGAAAGACGTATGAAGGCTCAAAGGGCAGCAGGCGTAGTGGCAGAGTTGGATACCCGTTTGTTTGCATTCGAAAACTATTGCCAAATACCAAGTCGCACACGTGCAGACAGTAGGGGAGTGCAGGGCTTGAAGGGAGGACTCGAGAGGGTTTTCTGTTAATGATACTCCGGATGATGGGTTCCTTTTTACTTCCATCATCCAGTTCCTACCACAACGTCTTTTATGATAACGACTGTCTTGTTCTTTGGCAAGTCCTGGCGTTTGGGTCAGGGAGAAAGGGGGGTTGGATGGATGATGCATATGGGGCCTTTTCTTCTTCTTCTTCTTCTTCTTTCTAACTAGTCACACAGCATACACGTCTATGGGCTTTGGGAGGGTGTTGAAAGAAATGAGAAGAAACCTTGACAAACCCGTGACGTTTCCCCTACCCCGAGCAGCATGTGTACTGGAGCTTTGGTACTTCTTACGAGCTTCGTGTTGTCGATGTGCACAGACGTGGGGGCCACATGGGCCATAGGGCCATCTGCCCACCCAGCCTTAAGCGTGCCGAGGCTCGCAAGCTCGAGGCAGATAATGTCAACGCCGCGACCAAACGCTCCGGGCGGGCTCGAGGAGGCCAAGGAATGGAATGGAGGGGGAGGGGGGGGGCGAGAGAAAAGAGGATCGACCTGTTTCAGCGGGAGTAGGCGGCAGCAATAAACAGCAGCAGCGGCATGCCTATGCGCACCCTGGGACGATCCGGGGAAGGGGAGGAGGGGGAGAGAAAAAAGGTCCCTCCTGACCCCTGACGCAGGTTGAAACACTGTTTCCTCGGGTCCTCCTCGTCCGCCGAGTCAGGGGCCCAGACTTCCATTGACTTTTTCTTATTTCCTCCTTTTGGGCAATGTGAGCGCGCGCGTGTGTGTGTTTGTATACGCAAGCGTATGGCGGAGAAGAGTCGGGTTGGTTCGCTGTCGTCTCTGCTCTGGTATCGCGAAAGGGGGCTGGCAAGGGGAGAGAGAGGGAACAGAAAAGAGGGGGAGACAGGAAGAATCTGGGTCGTGGGGGGGGAGAGTACCAATAATGTGATGATATGGTTGAGGGAGTGCTCGTATATCATCTTGGCTGAGCTTGCGCTACTTGACCCTGTCTCTCTTCTGCTGCCAAATCCAAAAGCGCGAGACATGATCGAGTTGTATACAAAGTAAACCTCCAAGGTCTCCAGGCCCCTGTGCTGTTTTCTGCTTCCAACAGCGAGTTACGAACTTCTAAACTCTGGTTACATTCTCATGGGGCGTGCCAAGGAACACTACATTATCACAGAACAGGCAGCCAATGAAACGCAAAAGACCCTGACAAGGAGGCAAAGCTGAAAGCTGTACCCCTAACCTTCACCAGGTATCAAATACCACTTACATCAATCACCCCGTGGACAAACTGACTGCAGTGCGTTTAACTTTCTTGAGCTTGCTTGCTAGGCCTGAAGGTCATCCCAACACCAAGCCGAGTCTCTCTAGACTACCTAGAGCCAGTGAACCACCACCTAGGTGGTACACTCTAGCACATGACCAGTAAAGAACGCCCCTTCTCCAGGGGGGCGTAAGGCATAACGGACCAGAGCCAAAAGTCTTGGCCTCTTTCTCTCGTAACTATCCAGCGACGTCTCATCTGAAGATCGATCCTCTTCCCCCCTCAATGTTCCATACAAAGCAGTAAAATTCCCACACGACAGGTTGAAAGGGGTTTGCCTGTCTGCCCCAACAAATCCGAGTTGGCCACCCATTCCCGCTGGCCAAAGCAAATCATGCGATTCATCGTCTCGTCTCCTCTTTCAGCGACTTGACGTCCTAGGTGACATTCATCACCAAAACTCAGGAAACATGATTGGTCCAAAGCGAATTTCTCAAGCCAATGAGATGGAAGGGTTACCTTTATACAACCGGAGCCTGGTACCAAGGCAAGTTGGCGGATCCGGGATTGTGATCGCCTCTATGTAATGCATAAGGACAAAAGCCGTCAGAAAAAAAGACGTTGCTTGATCGTCAACATGCTGAATGTTGTGTGCGTGTGCAATTCGTCAAGAATAAAAGAAAGGTCGGGAGTCCATGCTGAAAACAGGTCAAACGGCCTCTGACGTGGTATCTTGAAAGCAAGTGTTATGATCGGGGCTGAAAGTTTGCTAGCAATGGCACGCACGCTGCCGCTTCCTCAGACAAGCCAAAAGTCAATGGAGGCTTGGCCGCAGGGTGAGGAAGCCGTGCTGAATGTAGATGGAAAGCGTCATTGAGCCAAATGTGCCAGAGGCCAACAGTACTTCCTAGGGTATCTCAATGCACAGGTAAGGGGCAGCCCCATTACGGAGTATGTTGTCATCAAGGTCGTGATTAGTGTCGTTTCAACCGCCGAAAGATGTTCTTGGATGACTGGCTGAAGGCGTCCTACTGTCCCTTTCTAGCCTTCTCTGCAAGACGTGCTTCTCTGGCGGCACGCACCAACGGTGACAGCTGAGAAAGATCTACGCAGCCCTTCATGAACTCGTGCTGCAAAAAGGGTTAGTGAAGTGTCCTAGTGAGGACCAGGGCCAAACTTACTCTAAGGAGGTCATGTGCGCTTGCTCTCTTCTCAGGATCAACCTTAAGTGCGAAGTAAAGGAAGTCACGGAACACTGGCGACAAGTTGGACTCCTCCTTGATGTGGGGTGTGCCGTTGGTAGCGATCAACCACAACGCTCGCAGAGGAGACTCTGTCAAGTAAGGCGGTTCTCCCTCAATCATCTCAATGGCCATGATGCCAAGAGACCAGATGTCAACCTTGCGCCCGTACTCCTTGCGCGTGACGACTTCAGGGGCCATCCAGTAAGGCGTGCCAACCATAGTGGTACGCTTGTTCTGGGCCTCGTTGATGGTTGCGCAGAAACCAAAGTCAGCTACCACATATTAGCATATCACCACATCGAGCCATATTCAGAGAACCTACTCAGCTTGATATTGCCCTCCATCGACAGGAGAATGTTGTCCGACTTGATGTCGCGATGGATGACACCCTTGGAGTGGAGGTGCTGCAGGCCCTTAAGCGTTTCCCGGCAGACAGAGGCAATCTGTCCTTCGGTCATGATGTTGAACGTGACTACATCAGTCAGACTACCACCCTCCATGAATTCCATCACGACCCAGAGTTCGCCTCCGCAAAGATAGCTGTCGATGAAGTTGACAATGTTCGGATGAGAGCTGTCCTTCATGACAAGGATTTCGTTGATGATCAAATCCTTCTTGGGCTGCTGCTCGAGGTTCATCTGCTTGATGGCGACCAGCCGGTTGGTTCCTCGCTCGTAGCCGGTGTAAACACCGCCAGACGCGCCTTGTCCAATCTTATTGAAGTTCTTGTACACGTCACGAGGATCCCCGTCGGAACAGATGCGCTTCAGTGCAGCGACGACGTCGATGCCAGTGCTCTGGCGGGGACGGTGTCGAGGCCTGGAGCCAGGGGCACCAGGAACGCCCACCTGCTGTCGCTGGCCAGGCCCGCCATTGGCCGTGGGACCCTGAGGGTGCTGATGCTGCGACTGGGGCGGTGTCGGCTGCTGAGTGGGCTGTCTCTTGCTGGGGGCACGGCTAATTTGGCCAGACATGGCCGCTTGAGCTTGGGCCAATGCCTGCTCTTGCTGTTGTTGCATGAGCTGCTGCTGGTACAGGCTGGCCTGGGCATTCTGCGGATTGGGAGTAGGGGGTACATAGCCGGGGGTGGCGCCGACGCGCGAGTTGGATCGGGATCGAGATCGGTGTTCTCCGCGGTGCTCCTCGGGGAGCATGGGAACGTTATCCTTGGGCGGCTGGTATGCGACCGGGGGTAGGTCCTCGCCGGGCTGAGACATGCCAATACCGGAGTCCTTGGCGGGGTAGGTGGAGGGAGCGGACCTCATCGGGAGGCTGACGGGCGGCTTCGGGGCCGGGCGGCTAGGCATCAAGTTGATGTCCTTGTTGCTGGAGCCTTTGCCTCCACCAACTCCGGGGACGGGGGGCGGCTGACGGGGGTTTTCGAAAGATCCTTCATGATTGACAGTTGGAAACCTAGGGCTCGCAGGTGGACTGATCATTGGTGACATACCCATATAAGCTGTTGGCGGATACATGCCCGGCGACATGGCACCCGACGGCGAGTTTGAGCTCGCATACTGACGGTAATCAGGCGCTCTGGCATCGTGGAACTTCTCCAAGACTTGATCCTCGGCCGGCTTCTCGGTTGTCTCCTTGTAGAAAGTGATGATGTCAACCATGGTTTGGGGGTTCTCCCTGCGTTCCTTCTCGGGAATTCCACTTTCGTTGATCAATCGCTGCCATTCCTTCGGGAGACCCTACAACGTGAAAAGTGTCAGCCGCAACAAACGCAACGACATGCAAAAACAAGACGAGAGAAGCAGACAAAGATGGTGAGAGCAGCAGACGAAGAGGGTGAGTGAGTAACGAAGAGGGCAAGGGAACGACTGACAGTGAACTGGCCAGTGGAGCTGTCGTAGCCGACGTGGGTGACATGCACAGGATTCTCAGGAGCCGAGATGACTGGCTTCTTGGGGGTGCCGACCAGGCTGTTCATGAAGCCAGAGAAACCCGACTTCTTGCGCAGGACACCCATCCGGGGCTCCTTTGCCTCGTCCGAGTACCGCTTGGGGCTGATCATTGAGTTATCCGTCACCCGGCCACCTTGTGATTTTTCGTTCATCATTGAAAAATCGTTCGTGAAGCTGCGTGACTGGCGAAGGGCAGGGCCTCTGATGCGCGAATCGGTCGCCGACTTGATGAGGGGAGGCGGAGGGGCGTTATGTCGCTGGTAGAAGGGCTGGTGAGGCTGTGGTTGAGCGGCGACGGGCGATTTCGTCTGCTCGATGCGGTTCAGAACCGCAGCACCGTCAAAAGGAGCGCCGATGAAGTCGTCGTGGGTTTGTGACGACAGAGTGATGGCGGTGGGATCGACGGGTCGATCACTGCTGTGGGCGATACCAACACCAACTCCGTTACCGGCGGCAGAG